CATTTAACAGTCCGTTATCCCCCTCAGGGAATGGGAATGTGGCAAATAATAGGTCGATTTTCTAGTTGTTATATTTGGCGGCAGATTTAGACGTTTGTTAATGCATGGCACCTCTCGAATTTACCAACTTCAATATACTGAAAGTTATCATTACATACACCTGTTGAATAGTGTGGATTTGTCTGTATTTTGCAAGAAAATAGAATATAAAATACATTCCATCCAATTCCTCATCTTCCTTTACGTCATACATTTATTAATTTATGGGTTAATGAATTTCTTCAAAGCAATAAAAACATTATGCCCTCTCCATCCTAAAACACAGATAATATGTGTAAGACGTGACAATCCCTACATCTCCCTGATGCATAATGCAATTACTATGGACATAGACAAAAAAATTTCACAGATAATGGCTTTTAGTTATGTAGTTAGTAATGTTTATTGTTTGTCTATTTTTCTTTTTTGACTGGCGGGGATATCTATCTGACACTCGCAGGGTTGCCAAGTCTAATGACTATCACGTCCCCTGGTGGAGGGTGCGAAATGAATCTTTTACATTTGCTGGTTTTGAATTTTTTTTGTAAAAATTTACTAGGTATCATGATTATAAGCATCTTTGGTAGATTGTTCGATCCGGAATGGGAAAGATATCCTATTTATGAAATTATTTTTGGTATCATCTAACCGTTGCAATCAGTGCACAAACACTGTGACATATGATTTATAGCATAACCCGCTGCCCAATCAATACAAATTTAACATACAGGTCGCCTAGCCGTGGGGATGCAGTGGTCGGGATGAATATCACGGCAGCAACTTATGATTTGGGCATGTCTGGTAACAACGTATGAAGTAAAACTCGCTAACAAATTTGAAGATTTTGTACAATTTCTTTGAAAATGATGAAAGATATGTCTGATTTCGCAGGGTAATGTCGCAGCCAAATGGCAGTCACTCTTTCTGACACAGTCCGGATCGAACGATGACGATACTCGTGAAATGTATTGATACTTCTAAATATAGGATCGTATCGAAGATCCCTACTGTCAAGATGTATAACCCAAGGTACCGACGGAGCTATATTGCGGCGTCATGGAAATAATTTTAAATTTTGATATGCATTTTTTCAAGTGTTGTGCAATGACTTTGGGAAAAATGTCTTATAAAGCATAGTAGAGTATATTTCAACAGTTCGCGGAACTTACTCCACTGGGACCAGGAGGGCGAAACGGGATATTAATGCACAATCTGGTAACCCTGTCGCACCCTCACAAAATGGCCGCTGATAACCACACAAGTCACCGTGTTGTCATTGAATAGCATGGAATTAAACTTTCAGAGTATATGTTTTGTGACTGGTACCAAGAGTTGACAGATCCCACACATGTGTCACTCCTTGAAATGCAATAATCAGCTGTATTCAAATAATGTCTAATATAAATATAACCTAAAAAGTGTACTCGTGAAAAAAGAAAAATATGGCAAATTTGTAGTTCCTTTTGCAGGTTTTAGGTTTGCTGGTAGCTTTAAGGCATATATTTGGGAATTTCTTAATCGCTGTGAATATAGTGTGGATGTTTGTTCAGTTCCTGAACAACGAAAAATATTCAACTTTATGGATGTATGGATATCAAAAAACCTGAATGGTTTTGTGGGTATATCAATCTAAGGTGCCATAATGGTTCTGATGAACGGCAAGTAAATGAATGAATGTTTGGAAACGAGCAATATCTTTTGGCAGAGCCTGTCATCAAGTAGATGCTTAATGGCTATCTGCAATAGGTTTATAGGAATAAACACCCAGTATGACATATCAATTGAGGAAAATAATATAAACATGAATAAAAAATCATCAATAGTAATTAAAACATGTATTTAATTCAAAAATCAAACATTTCTTAAAATTTTGACTGAATTATATGTAATTTCTTAATATTCAATAAGCTGGTGATGTTTCAATGACAAGTTATCATCTCATACTTTGACAGTATTTTGTTTTCAACATTTCATAGCTATTGGTTGGTAAAATTTGTTAATTGGAACTTGTATCTGACGGTCTGTTACCCTATAGGTGGAGAATAACGGACTGTTGTTGGCCCTAAGTGTTTTATATCGACCACAATCACCACAATCTTACTAATTTTTATAATCTAATCTAAAACGTATTTAAATTGGGTAATTGACAAATAAAAGGCACTAAGTTTTTCTAAGTTAAGCCAAAATGTGTAGTCAGTAAGAAAATAAGTTTCATTAAATTGAATATTGACAACAGCGCGTCGGTCATCATCACTCTTATTGAACCGGCAATCGATCGCAAACGATAACAGTGGTTAGTTATCCTTTTGCATGGTTTTGCGGCATTGTCAGATTTATTTTACTTTAAAGTCGCTTTTCTCTAAAAAATGCCGTTTTGGCCCCCATGTTATATGAAACTTTTTGCTTCTTTTAACCCCTTCTATCACCCATTTAAATAATGACTATCATAACGTTTACACACTGTATAATAAAATTGTTTTTACTTCGTTCCCTCAAGACGAAACAGGATATAAGGCGACATTAAGAGAGAGGAAAGTTGTATCATTAACTGCTTAAACCCCAAAAATAAAGAATATGTGAATTTTTGTTTCAGGGACATACATTTTTTGGATAACATCTCCGCTGGACAGACTCATGCTAGAAAGCATGTGCAAAGCCATTCCAAAAGTACTCTCAATAAAATAAACCTACTGTGATAAATAAAAAAAAATGTTATATATTATTAGTAAGATCGCTAGTTTCAGTTTCCTCTATCTCTCCACCACCGTCCAAAGTTGCATCTAAGAATAAGATTACTAAGACCACTTTATCATATAAAATGTCGTCTTTTAAGGATAGCAGAGCCAAAACCTCAGGGCTGGAAACAGAATCTTAGAAAGTATATACATATTATTTGTGGCTCGTCGCGTTTTTTTAAACCCTTTCGTAGTTGACATGAGAATTAAATGCGGACGTAACAGCCAACCCTTTTATTATTCTAAAGTGAATGGTTTTCCCAAATCACTGGTGTCCTACTGACAATAAAATTCGTTCTTCTTATTGCGTGTTATCAAACCAAAAGTAAGGTCTATAGGAATCCTAAAAATACATAATTGTCCCCAAATTATCTATTAATAATGAATACTCTATCAGACAAAAATCGCGTCTAGAAATTCATCAAGCCGTTTAATCTGTATACCGTTTTTTGATTTTTATGAAGTTTTAGTATACCCAGTTTCACTAGCACTGCCGAGATAGATCTAGAGGCAACTCATTTGGCAAAATCCATCGACCCTTCTAAGCTGTAGCCCGTGAAATAGAATTTTGAAAATTTTGATCAGTCCGCCATTTTATTTTATAATATCCTAATATTCCTAGTGTGAATCGTACTACTAAGGTGGTCATTTGTCACAATCCATTAAGTCGTTTGGACTGTAACCCATGAAATAGGATTTTATATCCACACACTCGTACATACCCATGCGCGAAAAGCATAACCCCCGCACTAAAGTAGGTAATAAAGCGCCTTAGCTAAGTATATCTCATGGCTACCAGACTGTAGAACAACATATCCTATATCTGACCTTTCTTCTTCATATTCTTATTTTTGTTGCCTGATTGATATGACTGCAAACGCATTCATCACTGCCACCTCGTCAGATTGCGCAAACCCTTATGATCCATTACACTTTTAGTGTATATCCACTTACTAAGCTCAAATGCACTTTTCCTTGGATGAATAATTCCAGACAAGCATTATAGGTCAGACATTGAGGAGACCTTTCAGAAATCACAACTCCCTACTTAAACGCGATTGCGACCCCTCACCCTGAGTTGTTAAATTGAAAAAAGAAGCTTTTATGTAAGAATTTTTGATTTCGAAATCCAAAGTTGTAGTTATATATTGTGAATTTTTAAAGTAGAAATGTTGCTCAGAGTGAAGAATTGTATTCTATTTGACTTTCGCACCGTATACAAATACGAACATTCTTTCTTGGAGTTTTATTTGGGCTAAGCTAAAAGTACTTGAAATTCTTGTGCATGTTATCAATGCAAGCAATTTTCTTCATTTATCTGCGATGTATCGGATATCTGTTCACGTCAAACAATTACGGTAATGGTCTCTAACTGCACGATTAGTATCCATCCACACCTCGATTCACACTTATTGCATTGCTTTAGTGGCAATTTTATCTCAGAAAATAAGAGCATCTAAAAACTCTAGTATCGCTGATAAATAATAATGTACATAAATGTACATTATATTTACAACATTTGAAGCTCAGATAAAGTCGTAAAACGCCAACCTATAGTTGGGACCGAATAAGGTTTTGAAAAACATTTATCCGTAGTGATAATGGTTTTCTAATGATATGGTATTTTCGGCACAAAAATTAATGCACCCTTAAGGTCATTTGCCGGAATACAATGAGAAAAGCAACTTTAAACATCTACAGGTTATTATTAATTTGATGATTTACTATGCAACCTAAAAGGACAATCAACACTTTTTATGAGACTTTGACTATCCATTTCCGATATTTAGTGATGGAATTGTTCCCAAAAGAACAGATCATTGCGAACAAAAAAGAATAATGACCTCAGAAGTGGACTGCAAAAATATACAGCGTCGTCTTGGAACTAGCTGTCATTTACTTCATGTCCACAAGTACTATCTGTGCGTGTTGCCTATACTTGAGCTACATAGTTTGGATCTGATGTGATCTAACATCTGCTTCAGAGATAGCACTAGCACAGAACATTTATAGTTTATGTGAGTTTAGCTACAAATTACAGGTCGTTGTTGCGCTCCTCCATAGGTGACGTTCACAGCGCGTGCTCGTATAGTGGACTAGCGATTAACTAGTACACTAGTTGACATTATACCGATTTTTTACGTAATACTCCTGTGGTTTGGCCCTTTTCCTGTAACATACATCTGTGAATTCAGTGCTTTATTCAATTTCCATTACATTTTTTAGTATTATTCGAAAATACTTTTAAAATACGTATTAAAGTTGGAGATGATATTCTGTATCAAGTTAGGTTAGAGATGACTGTTCCACGTCACCAGATGTCATGTGATTAATCAGTTTGTTGAGGTTGTAGAAACAAACTTATGTGCAATTCTAGTATTTTATATATGTACGAGTATATATATATATATATATATATATACAAAATAAAATTAATTATTAATTGGGAAATTGGCAAATTTTTAGGCGTAAGTTGACTCTTTTGACGATAAAATCAAGCTTTCGGCATTCTCTATGGAGCCGTCATCAGGATTCTGAAAACACAATTGTGATGCTAGCAAAGGATACAGGACAGATTTAAATTGTCAAACAACTTACTCGTCGTTGAGGTTACAGCCACAAGGTGTTTCAAAACGAACGTAGAGGAGATAGAACTTGTTATAAATATAAAAACAAAAGGACGGAGACATTGGGCTTGTTGATAACGACAGATACCTTCGTTACATGTTAAAAATATCAATACACCCGAACATATTAAAAATTATTAAACATGAGAAGACATTTTAGGGAAACAATTGGAATGCAGTCTCTAACCTCCTACTTTCGCTACACGTGGAGAGGGGGACGGCACGGAAAGATAATGCGTCGTCAGATGACAAGTGATTAACGCGACGGAACGTGGAACTGTAAACCTCATTTTCCAATTTGGGTATAAAGTATACGTCATTGGCAAAATATTCGGAGGAGAGCTGAACAAGATTCTGTTAACCAAATACTTCGGATAGCCATTATTGATGAATAAGATTGAAAGCAGGTCATCCATTACATATTCTGCCAAAATTGGAGATAACACAGTGCCCATGGGGCAACCATGTGTTTATGAAAACACTTTGTTATTAAAAGTAAAATAGTTGTTGTGGAAAAGGTACTCTACGATATTGATGAAAGAATCCAGAGTTAGGTTGCTGTGTTAGCAAATTTGATCCCAATGTTTGTTGATGGATCTGATGCAAGCTTCTAAATACACATTTCTAAACAGTGAAACTATATCTAGACTCGCAATACCCCCTGATCATGTTATTGCGAGTCTAGATGTAGTTTCACTGTTCAGTAATGTGTATTCAGAGGCTTGCATCACATCCATCAACAAACATTGGGATCAAATTTGCCAACACAGCAACCTAACTCTGGATTCTTTCATCAATAACGTAGAGTACCTTTTCCAGAACAATTATTTTACCTTTAATAACAAAGTGTTTTCACAAATACATGGCTGCCCCATGGGCTCTGTGTTATCTCCAATTTTGGAAGAATATCTAATGGATGACCTGCTTGATGTTGTTATTCAAGTATTGCCATACAATCTAATTTTCATAAAAAAGTATGTGGACGATATTATCGTTTGTCTTCCTTATGGGAGGGTGGATATTGTTGAAGTTTTTAACAGTTATGATCCCTACATCCAGTTCACCATCGAAAAAGAAGATGACAATCAGTCTGTTCCCTTTTTGGATTCCAGATTGATTAGCACCAATGACAATATATTACTGGTAGACTGGTACAGGAAAATAATTTCTTCCGGAAGGTTCCTGAACTTCAGGTCTCACCACGAACTTAAAATAAAAATAAACCTGGTGAAACAAATGAAGAACAGTGTTATAAAAATCTCTGACAGTACTTTCCATCTTTCTAATTTAGGGAAGCTTTCAGTCTTATTCACCAATAATGGCTATCCGAAGTATTTGGTTAACAGAATCTTGTTCAGCTCTATTATTCCTTTAATTGTCGTTTTAATTGTAAATCAGTGCTCACAGTCAATAGTTTGTTGTCCAAAATGAAGGATAAGGTTCAGTTGCTTGATTCAACCGACACTGTCTATCGCATTAATTGCAACAACTGTAATTTAGTTTATATAGGCCAAACTTCGAGGTCACTGAAAGGCAGGATAACTTCACACAAAAGTGACGCCAGATTACATCCAAAGAGATGTGCTTTGGCATTTCATATTAACAACACAGGTCACACTATGAATTATGGCAGTATTGAGGTTCTTGACAAAGAAAAAAGACTCTCAAAACGTTTATTTTCAGAAATGTCCCACATTTTCATGACAGATCATTGCATGAATAAAAAGGCTGATGTTAAGCAGCTTAGTGTCATTTATTCCTACCTGCTGAATTGCGAAAAGCTAGAACGGCTACATATCCAAATCGAACCAACATGAATACATTTCCAATTGCTATCCTGGTAATTGAAATTTGTCACTCACAATCTTTAATATAAACTCACATAACCCATCTTTTCAAGTGTGTATCACTATCTCACATTCGTACACTCATATGAACTACACATTTTTCCAAAACAAATTAATTCAGCATTTTAGTAATTTGGGTGGAGGTTTACCGAGCGTCCCTCGTATACTTCATACCCAAATGGGACAATGAGGACTTCGTGTGTCGTTTTTTTTCCTCCAACTTCGTTTCCTCATATTACACCCGTATCCGGATGTGTGGGCATGTGTATCTACTTTTGTAGTTTCATATGTGCATTCATTTCGGGCCTGATGAAGCCAACCAGCAGAAATACGTATCGCTCGGGTTACCTATCCTATTTTCTGCTCGAATCCACTTTCCTCCTTTTTGCGGATTTTGCCCATTACTTTCCTACTTGTTGTTATATACCTTTCTCCGCATGATCATATTCTCTTTGTAGATCCTTTGCGCTTGAAGTACCACAGCAAGTGGCTATAACCGGCCGCGTGGTGGTGGTTAGACGTCTCCTTGAAAATTCGAGGTCGTATAGCCATTTTATACTACAATGTGTAGGTTGGCTCTTGTTGTGGACTTCGTGTGTCGTTTTTTTGCCCCTCCAACTTCGTTTCCTCAGGTTACACCCGTATCCGGATGTGTGGGCATGTGTATCTACTTTTGTAGTTTCATATGTGCATTCATTTCGGGCCTGATGAAGCCAACCAGCAGAAATACGTATCGCTCGGGTTACCTACCCTATTTTCTGCTCGAATCCACGTTCCTCCTTTTTGCGGATTTTGCCCATTATTTTCCTACTTGTTGTTATATACCTTTCTCCGCATGATCATATTCTCTTTGTAGATCCTTTGGGCTTGAAGTACCACAGCAAGTGGTTATAATCGGCCGCGTGGTGGTGGTTAGACGTCTCCTTGAAAATTCGAGGTCGTATAGCCATTTTATACTACAATGTGTAGGTTGGCTCTTGTTGTGGACTTCGTGTGTCGTTTTTTTTTTAACTTCCAACTTCGTTTCCTCAGGTTACACCCGCATCCGGAGGTGTGGGCATGTGTATCTACTTTTGTAGTTTCATATGTGCATTCATTTCGGGCCTGATGAAGCCAACCAGCAGAAATACGTATTGCTCGGGTTACCTATCCTATTTTCTTCTCGAATCTACTTTCCTCCTTTTTGCGGATTTTGCCCATTATTTTCCTACTTGTTGTTATATATATATATATTATATACAGTGACTTCGAAGTTGAGTTATTTATTTTAACAGTGAGTAGATGTGATTAAAAGAAATGTTTTTTCCCTATAACATTTTTCTGGTAAAATTAAAGTAACAAAGTTATAGCCCTTTAGAAGTTTGAGTACCGCCCTGTCTCAATAATAATATTATGTGCTCGTGTTTGGCAACAAGGCCAGCTCTGCGTCGAGCAAAACGGAAATCATTTCGAACAGTTTTTGTGACATGCTTTTGGGTGCAAAGGTCCGCACTGAAATACTTGTCGGGAGGATACTTTATAAAACAAGGTAACATTTTTTTTTTATTTTTTTTTGACACACATATTTTGGTTTATCTTCCTTCTACAATTATTATCTGAAAATTAATGACTCAACTTCAAAGTCACCCTGTATATATAGAGTGTTCAATAAGTACCACGACAAACTTAAGGAGAAGATAGGCTTTATACTGACCTCCCAAATAGCAAAAACTTATAGATATCGAATTTTTTCTTAAATTTTAAAAAAATCTGTGGTCTTTAGCTGCATGTACAAATAAGGTTATACTTTGTTCATTTTTTCTATAAAATACTTCCAGATAGTTGCTTTATCATATACAAATGCAATGTAGTTAATTAAAATATATTAAGGAACCATGGTCAAATAAGTACTATTTTGGGATTTATAACCTTCTGATATTTTTTCCTCAACTTTGACCATTTGTGGTGAAACAAAAATGTACTGGGCACCACACGTACTATTTGGAATAGAAAAAGTGATAGCTGCTTTTGTAAGTGACTGACACATACTACAATGTAATTATTGGATTTAAATTCAAGTTGCACTGGTTACGGATCAGTGACATGCTAAATAGTACAAAGCTACATTATTATTACCTCTTCCTGATATGATTTTATGAAAGTTGAGGAAACAATATCAGAAGGTTATACATCTCAAAACGGTCCTGATTTTATCATGGTTCCTTAATATATTTTAACTACATTGCATTTGTATATGATAAAGCAACTAACTAGAAGTATTTTATAGATAAAATGAACAAAGTATAACCTTAGTTGTACATGCAGGTGATTCTTTTATATAGGTAATTATTTGTCATTTGGGAGGTCACTTCAAAGCCTACCTTCTCCTTAAGTTTGTCGTGGAACTTGTTATATATTGCCCTGCAAAAGTTTAGACTCACTTAGAAAAATCGTTTTTCTTGCTATTTAAACATTAGTCATCGTTCTCAGAGAGTTTTATAAAACGAATTTTAAGCGTTTTCTTTTAATTTTCAGTTCTTTATTGTATCAAAATATGGTAATTTAAAAATATTAAATAATTGGCAGTATAAAAATGCACTTTAGTATGCGCTCCAATCACTTTGAACCACATCTGCCGTCGATTGTCTGTAACAAAACATTAAATTTGTATACTTTGACACCTGAATTACAGTTGCACATTGCACAAGACTTCCATCTGTTTTGCTGCTAAAAAATTGCCCATAGTCTTGAAAATCGTAAGAGCAAAGCAATGACTGATAGAAAAACGTGCTGGGATAGTAATTTTAAGCGAAACCGGGCATTTGCAGCGATAAATTGCACTAATATTGGGAATTTCACAGAAAGAAGTCCGGACATCATTGTAGAGATTCGTTGAAACCAAATCGTTTTCCGAGCGGAAACGCTCGGGTAGACCCAGAAAGATGACACAAAGTGATGCTTATACAAATGTTAAGTAAGCGACCTAGACTCAAAACAGTGCCAAAAAAACCATTGCTGCGATCAGTAAATGTTCGTAAACTACTCAAATGGGCAAAAGAACACAAAAATTGATCCATCGAACAATGGGAATAGGTGTTATGGACCGATGAGTCCAAATTTGAAATTCTCGGTAGCAAACGGCGAAGGTACTGCCACAGAAAATAATATATAATGAACAACATGCCCCTCAATGTGTTAACGCCAACAGTTAAGTTTGGTTGTTGCAGCGTGATGGTATGCGGGTGTTTCTGTTACGCTGGTGTCGGCGCCTTGGTGTAAATCGATGGGAAAATGCGGAAGGAAGACTACCCGATACTTGAGCGGAGCGCTATTCCATCTGGCATCGATTTGATAGGGGAAGGGTTTGAGTTTCAGCAAGATAACAACCCTAAGCATACATTAAAACTTTGTACGAATTGTCTAAGATCAAAAGAAGCTGCATGTACTCTTGACTTGATAGAATCGCCATCACAATCGCCGGATCCAGATCCTATCGAACTGTTGTAGGATGAGTTGGACAGAAAGGTGCGAAAACTGAGTCCAACTAGCGAATCTCACTTGTGGCAATGTCTTAAGCAGGCTTGGCAACTATTGAGACCAAAAATACTTCAGAAATTGGTGGGGAGAAAATTTGTAGGGCAATTATCAAATCGAAAGGCCAACATGCTGACGAAAATCGGCTGGACTGATTTTTTCACTTGTTTACACAAAAAACTCAAAAATATCACAAATAAATGCTCACAACACGTTTATAAAAATGAACGTAATATAAAACGGTCTGAGACCGATAATTAAAGAGATAGATAAGAAAAAAAAGATTTTTCTAAGTGAGTCCCAACTTCTGCAGGGCTATATATATATATAGAGAGAAAATGACGGAGAGGGAAAAAATCGACACACGAAGTCCACAACAAGAGCTAACCTACACATTGTAGTATAGTGCATTCATTTCGGGCCTGATGAAGCCAACCAGCGTATCGCTCGGGTTACCTATCCTATTTTCTGCTCGAATCCACTTTCCTCCTTTTTGCGGATTTTGCTCATTATTTTCTTACTTTTTTGTTATATATATATAGAATCTGCATTCCGATTGTTTCAACAAAATTTTGACTCACATGTAATATTTTTAACTTGTTCGGGTGGATTGATATTTTTCACATTTAACGAAGGTATCTGTCGTTTTACAACAAACCCAACATCCCCACCCTTTTGTTTTTATACTGATTACAATTTCGATCTTCTCTACGTTCGTTCTGAAATACCTTGTGGCTGCAACCTCACCGACGAGTAAGTTGTGTGACAATTTAAATCTGTCCTGTTTTCTTTGCTAGCATCACAATTGTGTTTTCAGAATCCTGATGAAGGCTCCATAGAGAATGCCGAAAGCTTGATTTTATCGTCAAAAGAGTCAACTTAAGCCTGAGAGTTTTGGCAATTTTCCCAATTAACAATTAATTGTATTTTGTACCCAACTAGTCGTTGGCTTTGGCAATGACTACCGCTCACATATATATACATATATATGTATATATATATCCAAAGGTATTCTTCCAAGTAGTAGGAACTATCCTTAGAACAAAAATAGTTAATATGGTTCAGTAGGACACTTGGAGCTGTTACTTTTACATTTTCGTTTGGGTGACGACTGCAGTTTCTTACAAATTCAGTGATCATAACTAACCTACTTCCAATTTTATGCATTATCACGTTCTTGCTCAGATGATATTGATGGCAGAAAATAGAAACATGAGCTACCAGATTGTCTATGCCGCTTTTCGGTTACGTGAACAGAAGAACAGAAATGGCGAAGTGATAAATAACGTAACAAATGTTGAGGAAAACAAAAGCAAAAATTAAAAGTGAAAATTTCTGTGTATCTAGTTATGGAGAACAAAAAACGATTGTATAATGCACAACCGGAACAATATAGCGATTTCTCGAAAACTGAGAGAAAGCGATGAAGTTTGAAAACAAACAAAATAGATTTTTAGGAATAACCACTTCCTCATTGTTACTATATGAAGAAGTGTGATTAAGTGTTTCATAACCATAATAAAAACCTCAAAATAATGCATTTTGAGGTTATTACTCTCAGTTTTTACTGGAAAAACACTGTAACAACCATTTATTTTCGTTACTACATAATATAGACGTAGATGCATTTATTGTTTACTGTTTTACGAAGAGTTGGATTCAATCGACAGAAAATTTTCTCACGATCAAATTCAAACCGATATAGTGCATTTCCGAAGAGGTCCCCGTCCAAATTATTTCTTGAAAGAATCAAATTACCAAGCTGAAATTCGGCTTGATGTAATTTACGCATGAAAACCGTATTTTAGCATAAAAGTGGTAGAAAAAAACTTCAAGGTGTTGGCTGAGCGCTGACAAAGTTGACCGTATTTATACGTTAAATCACTTATAACTTAACAATGAATCACCAAGACAGTATATTATATCGATGTTCTTTGGAAGGGCTCGTCTGAATGTGCAGTAGAATATGGGTCATCAGGTTGGACGTAGTTGAAAGATTTTGTCATTTTTTCCACGAAACGATCCTTAATTTATTGCATACTAGTTTATACCATTCCTAAACAGGAAGATCGATATAACATGCCATATAATTTTCATGACAGGTTGTCATTTTTAAAGACAGAGAAAATAATGTTCACATGATCTTCCATTTCGTTAAAAAATGTCCCAGTCCAGCTCCTATTCTATTCAAAAAAAATGTTCCGAGCCGCCATCATGGAATTTTCAACTGCCACTTTTACGCTAGAACACAGGATGTCCCAACCGTGCGAGGACGGAGTATTGCTCCTAAACAAAAAGTTTTTAAAGAAAGCTATTCATAGATTATTATATGATATCTGGAGGCATTATTCTGAAATATTGATTATCCCGATTTTAACCCACATATGAAAGTTGATTTTTCTTAAGTGGAATCCCCATTTTGTTATTACCCATTCAGATAGGCCCTATTAAAAAACAAGATTGGTATTTGATATAACATACTTATGGGTTTGGGTTATTAGTTGTTGAATTAATGAGAATATTTTGTGAAAAAAAAAACATCAAATGTCCACAGCCTACTCTATATCTGTTTTGTTGACAGGCGGAGTAGTGAATTTTGGGTCCATTTTTTTATTTTACCCAATTTTAACCTAATTCATCCATTTTTGAAATACTATGAAATGATCAATGCATGGTTGGTCAAAACCTCAAAATGTCCTTCTCCGCAAAAACAAAATGAAATACCTTGTGTATTTTGCACTATCGGATCCCCTTATTCATGAACTTTTTTTTAATATAACGTTGTTACTGGTTTGATCTAACGGTTGTAGCAATTTGTGTCATAAAATTGGATATTTGTATATTCAAACAAGAACATCATCCAAGGAAACAAAGAACAAGTAAAGGATCATTGACAATCTGTTTTGTCAGCCTGAAGTTTCCGCAAAGAAAACATAGCTTCACAATAGAAGAGCGCTGACGCTGACACGGGAAAGCAGAAATCTAGAAATACCCCAACCTTTTTGAAGGAAAGAAAAGACTATGAAAATCAAGGAGGCCATAAAGGCATCCTTCAATAAATTGTAGGAACGACTGACGATACAGCCCTAAGAACCAAGATCCATAGGTATGTTATGACATTTTTTTCCTTTAAAGGGGCCTATCCGAATTGTGTAATAAAAGATATTCCATTCAAGAAAAATCAACTTTGATACTTGACTCAAAATTAGGACACTGTATATTTGTGAATATTTCAGAAACATGCTACCGGAAAATATATATACAGGGTTCATTTTAAAACTTCCATCATCATTTATCGAAAACAGATTAAAAGAAAAAACGCCGTCAAAAGATTTGTCAAGGGGTACAACTTTTTAACCATAAACTACTTTACCCTCGGCACCCAGTGTCACTCCCTTAAAAATTTTAAATGACAAGAGGTATCGAGTAATAGCTTGTCTGAAAGTTCTTTTGAAGTCCTTTATTTTGACATTTGAATCAATCAAATTGAAATCAATTGATTCGTTTTCGAGAAAATTAGGGAAATGGTTATTTATCTTAATTTGTTCATATAGAAAACAAAATCACACGAAAATATCACTTTTTATTTCAATAAGTGTTCAAAATGTTGCCCATTAGGGTTAGCAAAACTACAATTCGTTTATAATTTGAAACAGAAACTACCAACATTAACAGCAATTCGGAAGATTAGACGTGGAACAACCAAATAACAAGCCGAATTTTCTTCCGCTTTCTTTTCACCAATACAGATATTCTGGGCGAACTGTATTTATTGTTATACCTGTTTAGTTATTTGTTGGTAAGGGAAAGAAAGAATTTAATTTGCTGTCAGCCAACTTTGTAACAATCTTGGGATAGTGAAAATTAATTAATTATTTTTCTTTCGAAATGGCTCCCACACTAGGCGAATGAGTGGAAATGATTCTAATTTATGGTGCCCAAAATCAATGTGCTCGGCAAACTCCCGTCACGTTTAACGCCAAACATCCGGAAAATCGCATAGGCATGTTTTGGACCTTGTCACTAAATTTACTCAAACTGGATCTGTTGCAAATAAAAAACGTGATCATCGAAGAGTTTTGGATGAAGCCACTCAAGTTGAAGTTTTTGGTCATTGTGGAAATCCTTATACTTCATTACGCAACATTTTCTGCGACTGGTATTTCATTAACAGAGTCTAATGAAATACACAGTCACTAAACTCCATAAATGTCTGCCATTCAAAATGAAAATATTGTAAGAGTTAACCGAAGATGATTTCAATAGGCAAGTGGAGTTTAGTGAACAAATGACTGCAACGATTAATGATCATACCGTTCATGTAAAGAATATCTGCTTCAGTGATGAACGCACGTTTTATCTAACTGGATTTCTTAATAAGCATAATTGCAGGTATTGAAGCAATGAAAATTTTCATGCTTTTGTAGAGAGACATACTCTAAGTACCCCCTAAAAATTAATGTATGGGCAGGTATTTTATTAAGCAAAGTGATTGGGTCATTGTTTATCGATGGAAATTTGAATGGAGACATTTATCCGCTTATCACTGAAACCATTGAAAACCTAATCGAAGAGGATGGATACCCTATAGTTGATGAGGCTGAAATATACTGTGACATATAAATCCGAACGCCCAGTTTAAATGGTTTTATTTTAATAAAATTTTGTATAAGCACTTAATGAAGCATAATAAGTAAATGATAAAAATTTCAAAATAATTGCACTGCTTTAAAGCCCTTTGACCTTTAATAATGTGTGGATGCACCCTGATGTGCTACGCATTCTCCAACGTGCCTAGGCATGCTTCTGATCAGGTGGTCAATGTCCTCCTGTGGTATCTCATTCCAGGCAACCACCAACTCCTCTCGAAGTGCTTCTAGAGTCTGAGGAGGACGTTGCAAATTGAGCAATCTCCTACGCATCATATCCCACACGTGCTCAATTGGGGATAAGTCGGGAGATCTTGCTGGCCATGGTAACAATGTGACATCATTATGTTGAAAGAACAACAACATGTGGTCGGGCATTATCTTGTTGAAAAGTTGGATCTGCCAGGGTGTCAAGATAGGGTAAAAGATGGGGTTCTAGAACTTCGTGGATATAACGCTGCACGTTCATGTTACCTCTGATGAAGATTAAAGGTGACCTGGAACCATAAGCTATAGCACCCCAAACCATAACTCCAACAGTGTGATGAACATGTCTTTCAACAAAAAACTGTGGATTCCTCCTTTCACCACGTCGCCTTCTAACCCTGGCACGACCATCGTGCATGCCTAAACAAAATCGAGACTCGTCACTAAAGACTGTTCCATTCCTGATCCCAGAGTGACCGTTGTATGCACCACTCAAGGCGATTACGTCGGTGTTCTCGAGTTAAAGGGAGGACCCAGTATGGCCGGTATGAAAACAAGCCAAAACTTCTCATTCGTCGGTAAACACTTCGCATGCCAATAGGTCTTCCGTGTTCTGCAAACCATTCATTTGCAATGGACCTGGTAGTGGAGAAACGGTCCCTTAAGGCCAATAATCTTAGGCGGGGATCTTCACGGTCTGTTGTTCTACGGCGGCGTCCAGTGCCCCTTGCTCTTTGCGTACGGCCTTCTCGAAGCCATGCCTGACAACACCTAACCACAGTGTCTACACTTCTTTGCACTCTAACTGCAATTGCCCGAAAAGAAAGTCCAGCTTCCCGAAGTCCCACTATACGGCCCCTATCAAACTCACTAAGTTGACGAAATCGTACAGGTCTCCGTACTCTAAGCATCGTAACCGATCGTAAAGGATGTCAAGAACCAAAATCCGCCAACGTTGATTCTTTACTGCGGCTGAAATATTCATTTTTAGAGCGTTAGTGAATTGAAAAAAAGCAGTATAAAAACCGGAATGTCCAACTGATAAGGCTGAAAATTTTTTCACTTGTTATTTACAGTAAGATAAATACATTCACCAACTTTTATTAAAATAAAACCATTTAAAGTGGGTGTTCGGATTTATATGTCACTTAGTATATACATGTTTCCAGCAAGACGACGCTCCTCCTCACTATGTGGGTTAAAGGGAGTAAAGTAGTTTTTGGCTAAAAACTTGTCTCCCTTGACAAATGTTTTAACGTGTCTCGGCGTTTTTTCTTTCAATCAGAGGTTTTTGATAAATCCGTGGTGGGAACCTTGTATAATAAATTAGCTTGAGTTTCTTTGGAAACTTTGTTCAGCAGCGATCCTCCATCCTCATAGTTGGGACACCTTGTATATATAGTGTTTATGCATCAATTTAAAAATCAATTAAAAAATAAGTGAATAGGAGAGGTTTATGAAAAGCACTGTATAGTTTTGACATGTAGGAGGTGTCATAGCTATTGATCTTTTAACAAACATGTAAAAATAGCTTAATGAAAATTCTTGCACTAAACAGCATGTATAGGCGCAAAGACTGCTTCTCAACTGGAACATATTCATATATATATAGGTGAAAAATTAAAGCTTACGCCTTTTGTTGGGTACTTCGACAAAATTTAAGCAAAGAGGACTCTTTATACTTTTTTAATTCTCTCTAGCTTTCAATGGACTTTGCCATCATCATCAGGAGCTGCAATTACAATGATAACAGTAGCAACAAAGGTGTAAAATGAATTTAAATTGACTCAACTTACAGTAGTATGTGAGGATGTTGCTAATTGTTGTTTACGTATAGGATGAGGGAAACGTCCAGTAACATGGTGAGAGCTGGATAGTTGTACAATGGTCAAAATTATATACAATATGACAAGAACAAGTTAAAAACAGATTAAAAATTATTTAAAAGACATTAGAGCATTACATCGTTTGTTGCTACTGTTATCATTGTAATTGCAGCTCCTGATGATGATGGCAAAGTCCATTGAAAGCTAGAGAGAATTAAAAAAGTATAAAGAGTCCTCTTTGCTTAAATTTTGTCGAAGTACCCAACAAAAGGCGTAAGCTTTAATTTTTCACCTAACTGGTCTAGACGACAATGACCACGTCTCAAGTTATACGTATATATATATATATATATATATATATATATATATATTCAGGGTGTCCCGCGAGGTAAGGGACAACATTTTTCTGCGTGTTCCTTAGGTCAATTCGAGTCGAAAAAGTCGTAAGAACATGGGTCCGCAAATGCTTCCTTATCAAGATATGATTTTTTTATTTTTACTGGGCGAAAACCACAATATTGTTGGAAATTGCTTTTATTTAACAAACAATTTAATACTGTTCATATGAAAACAACCGTTTGCAATAACTAAAGTCCACATTCACGTTATACTGCCCGATTAATATGCTGGTGTTTGTTTGTTAACGGAGCAGTTGTATCAGTTTGATTGAACTTTTCAAAAATTACTGTCATGTTTGTTTGTACACGTGAGGAATACGGTGTCTACGGATATTGCAACGGAAATGGCAGCTCAGGCAGCAACAGGATCGGTTCCATATGCTATCAGAAGCTGCCCATGACTTAATACTAGATAGTAAACGGTCACCATCAACCAGCGTCCGCAGAATATCATGTCGCACTGGTGTTTCTCGAATGACACTATGGAGAGTAGTGCATAACTTTGGTTTGTACCCATTTCATCTGCAACCTGTCCAAGCTCTGCTGCTCACTGATCCGGACCCTTGTATGCAGTTTTATAACTGGCTCCTCGCAAATCGTAATCTTGTTAAAAAGATTTTGTTCACCGACGAATCTAAATACTTTTACTCGAGACGGCGTCAATAACTTGGGGAATTCCCATTCTTGGCAGCTTGAAAATCCCCACGCAACTATCGAACGGCATTTCCAACACCATATTTCTGTTAATATCTGGTGCGGTTTGTTAGGGGATCACTTAGTTGGCCCTTTTGTGTTTGACGGTCGGTTGACATCTGAAGTTTATCTTCAATTCTTACCAGAAGAACTGCCTGAAGATATTCCGCGGCAGAGAAGACAACAGATGTGGATACAGCATGACGGTTCTCCGCCCCACAGTGGTAGAAATGTGACTGAATATTTAAGTAACACTTTTCCTGGGCATTGGAGTGGATGAGGGGGCGCAGTTTCTTGGCCACCCCGCTCGCCCGATTTAAATTCCTTGGATAATTACTTGTGGGACATATGAAATCTTTAGTGTATGCAGAGAAATTGCATACCAGGGCTGAACTGCTCCGTAAAATTACTGATGTCGCTGACGACATAAGAAGTAATCGTCTTGTTATTGAGAAAGCCACCAGTCACATTATTAAACGGGCTAGACTATGTTTACAGTGTGAAGGTGGACACCTTGAGCAACTATTGTGAATAGGTATTTTTATTGTACCTAGTAATTTTGTGTTAAATAAAAGTAACTTTCCAACAATATTGTGGTTTTCCCACCATTAGCACCCTAAAAATAAAAAAATGGAGGCATTTGCGGACCCATGTTCATAGGACTTTTTCTACTCGAATTGACCTGAAGAACATGTAGAAAAGTGTTGTCTCTTACCAGGCGGGACACCCTGTATACATGTATATACAATCAATTTTTAATTGAGAAATTGGCAAACTTTTTAGGCTTTAGTTAACTCTTTTAAATAAATCTCGAGCTTTCGGCAGTTCTCTATGGAGCCTTCATCAGAGGCCGAAAACACAATTATGACGCTAGCAACTAATGACAACTATACTGACGACATTGCAATGCAGTTCTCTATGTTCTTTCCAGCAATGAGTTAGGTAGGATAGCAAAAAACCAGTATTGTAAATAACTATGTGTAAGGTACACTACATATTTTACTAAATGGAACGTGTAATCCTGATGGCACCTGGACTAAAATATAATTATTCTGCAACAAACTACTGCTAAATTTACAACCCGCCACCTCATATCTAAACGAGCTGCGAACTTCTTAAGACCTCATTCGACGCTGTCTGTATGCATATTACCCTTGTCATGGACCGACTTGTTGATGTCATCACTGGATCTATAATTAAATCTAATGACTGGAACTAATGTGTATAAAGTAAATAGTGGGTGTCAGTTTTTTCGCTATTTAGAGAATACGACTCAAAATATTACATGACGAGCGCAGATCGTTTCGCGAATCAGGTTTGGAATTGGAGACGATTAATATTTATTGCAAAATACCAGCTGCATCAACGTTCCTTTTGGAAAAATCGTCTTTACGATGCGTTTAATGAGACAGAAAAAATATATGAAGAGTAAATTAGCCTATCTGCATAATTCTAGTAAGTAGTCAATAAATAATGTTACGAGTAACCTACGCGCCGCACCGATTTGCTACAATTCATGGCTTTTTTATTCTCTTCGGTGTGTACAGTATCGTACGGCATAATGCAGCGGATTAGTTTATGGCAATTTAAGCACCAGAGTTGTTAACATTGCATCCTTAGTTTGCAATTGTACAAGGATTAGAATATCATATATGGTGACCTTCATTTCAGCGATCAAAAACAAATTGTAAAAAAAGGAATCTTGAACATATTCTTGCAGCAAAGAAAAAGCAGGGGGGAGGGGGAAAGATATGGTCGGTAGATCAAGTAAGACATGTTTTTGCTCATTTAAAAGACAATATATGTACCCATGCATGTGGAAGTATGGATCACATGAGAAAATGTTGGCATGGAATGGGGCATGTGCAACGATAATGGTTTTTATGGATGAAGACGACTATGGGAAATAGTAAGCATTGGAAGAAAATAATTACAAGTTGCACGAAACAAGACGGAATCTACATTACTATTGAACATAGAGTACAAAAACACATATTGGAAAGTAGCTAACATTTTAAATATACTTTCAACAGCTCCCCTATGTGAATTGGTTCAAGCCTTGACTCCTAACACAAAACTGATGCTTCTTGCTTTGGACTGCCTTCTTTAGGTTGTCCGCCAACAACTCGTCCGTGGACATGAACATTAGTAGAATCTTCTCCAACTTAATGGAATAGTGTCCAACATCTACATGTTCCGCCCTAGCGTGATAGCCTACATCGTATGTAAAGTTCTGTGCATCTTGGTTGCCTACATGCAGCATCGTGGGATCCTTACAATGTCTTAACTCTTCACTCACTCCTCTGGGCCATAAAGCTCTTTGAGCTGCTGCGCTTATGGCCGTATACTTACTTTCCGTTGTGGGTAGCACCACCGTAGTTTATCTCCTGGTCGCCTGAAAAATAGCTGTCAGATTCTTCATGACCATGTAGACAGTGACCAATCTGCGATCATCATTACTGCTCACCCAACCTACATTACAAAAACCAACCGCTGGTGGTTAGTGCCATCATACTCCAACTTATGCTGCATTGTCCCTTTGAGATACCTCATAATGTGCTTTGTTGCTGTCCAGTGGGATCTGCGAGAACCTTCTCACTTTGTTAGCTGCAAACGAGATATATATATATATACGAGTAGACTAGAAATAGAGGAAAAAATATCAAAAGGTTATAAGTCCCAAAATAGTCCTTATTTGATCGTGGTTCCTTAATATCTTCTAACTACATTGCATTTGTATATGATAAAGCAGCTATGTAGAAGTATTTTATAGAAAAAATGAACAAGGTATAACCTTATTTGTAAATGCAGCTAAAGACCACAGATGAAGAGGTTCGGTTTTCTAAATTTAAGAAAAAAATCAATAGTTCAAAAACCGTGACACTTATAGGCAAGTTTTTGTTATTTGGGATGTCAGTTCAAAGCCTACCTTCTCCTTAAGTTTGTCGTGGTACTTATTGGACACCCTGTATAATTGCACGCATATCATATTATTTTTACATCTCTGGCAAAGAAGCAAAAATCTGACTACCCCAATATCTTTCATCTTGAAGTGCGACAAAAAATATATTTCATTCTTCGCTGCAATATGGTTTGAGAAGATCATTATTACATCGGCGTATGTCGTAGAATCAGAAGATCTAAAGTAAATGCATTGATCAGTTTTAGATTGACATAAACCGTGCATTCAAATATCTATCAGTCTTCAGATTATATAACGTACTGGCTTGTTTCAATCTGTATATGGGGTTTCTCAGTTTGCATACATGCAAGTATTGGTGTGTATGTTTTTGTACAGTCAATGTCTTTGGCTAGCTTTGCCTTACACTTGGCAACCATCCAGATAGCATCCCTCTTTATTTTGAAAACCAATTTGCAATTTAACTGCTTCTTCTCACCATAAGTTCATTGCGCATCAGTGGTGTAAATTCTTCCACCATGGTTGTACGCCACTGGCCTGTTCAATGCTTTTTCAACAGTCTCAGGATCAGAAAATCAGAAATTGCAGCAAAGCTCATCACAAAGCCCTCTAACCTCTTGGGGGTCTCCTATGTCGTTTCTTCTGACTGTCTCAGAAATGTCCACCTCTCTATCTCTGGAAAATGAAATGTTTGAACTAGCGTTTATCTTCTGGTAATTTTACTAAAAATGTGACAATCGACTAGGGGGAGGTACTGGCAAATGAACATTGAAGGACAGGGGGGAAGTTCCGTGGCTACACCCGTGACTCGAAAAGCGGTGTATGTTGGCAATTGAAAACTGAAGAGCGGGGGTGTCGACAATCAAAAATGCAAGAGCTAGGCACATGCAGTCCTCTCTCCTCCAAGAGAGATACTTATTTACAGTCACAAGGCATAGAGCCCTCAAATACGCGATGCCCGCAGGCGGTTGCTACTCTTCCTATGTATTTAGCTTCTAACCATCTGACAAACATGAATTTCCTAAGCATGTCTCCTCACCAACATCTAGGTTATTATTCTCAATTTCAGTAACCACTGCTTGAGTCTGGGGTTCTGTCTTCACTCCAGCTTCTTCCCTCTCCGGAAATGTTACCTCCTCAGCTGCTGTGGGCTCATCTGAAAATACAAGAACCCTTTTCAAAAGAAATAACATTCCTGCCGATAAAAATGTTTCCATAGGAAGGATGGTAAGATTTCTAACCTTTGCTTTGTGAACTATGATCAACCAAATTACTGGGAATATATTTCTCGTCTAGCTGTCTACCAATATCTTGAGGAATATGTGCATATGCCTTACGGACAAAAGTGCGAAGCCCCTCTAGCTTCTGGTTTACGCCACTCCAGGCTTCCTCTGAGTCTCTCGTAGACACTTTGTTGATGATTCGTTCAATAAGTAAGCAAAGGTATTATCAGCTTTTGCCCAAACATGATTGAGCAATCCCGAATCTATCAAGAAGCATCTAGTCTTCTCGAAAATGTTTCGATTTAGCTGCTCTGAATGGCCATTTTGTTAAGCTGCGCGCAAAATTTTGATTACTTTAGCGATTTGCTTCTCGGCAAACTTCTCAAATGCTTTTCAGAAGTCGAAGCCTTTACTTTTACTTTTTAGACAGTACATACTTTATGTGTTTAATCATCTAATAATGCCAGCATATATCGAGATCATTCAATACTTTTGATTACTATCGAGCTACACAAGTGTGAATAAACAACCTCTAAAATGTCCTTATTTTATATTGACGGCTGCGTAGGTATAAACCTAAATACTGGGGCACCGCTACTGCGGTAAGGAGCTTTTATACCTAAGACATTATTATACTATATAATACAAATTTTGAGCTGCATAACGTTAGTAGAACTGGGAAAAGCCTCTTAAGGCAGATTGTTCCACAATCTTGGCACTCAAGTAACTAAAGAGTGGTCGTACTCGCCAGTTCTGAGTGTACGAAGTTCGACAGCGTTGAAATGGGAGTCAAAAGCCTGGCGGGTATGTATGTCAGGCTAAACGCGAAGAGGCACCATGGAAGAAATCTCTAAGGAGAAAAACCCGTTAACATAGTGGCACAAGGGAGCCAGATCGCCGACCGTCCATCGATGCCATACACTGTCCATTAGGGAAGTGTCCATCACTAAACTGTATACCTGATGCCAAACCATTTCCCGACATTTTCAGGTTCATAAAATGCATGTGGCCTAGCCTACGTTGCCATAACAGTTCCTTCAGAACGTTCCTCAGAGGCAAGGTATGCTGCATCTCTCACCACAAACTCTAAAACAACTAATTATCACATTCAAATAAGCTCGCACTGATCGTAGTGGCACTTAAAATAACTCTCTTTGTGACCAAGTTTTCTAAATAAGGCGTCATCTATTTCCTGGCAAGCCGCACGCAGGAGGGAGGTGGCATTTTTCGTACATGGTGAGGTCGATAGCCAATTTACTGTCGAACTGGATCAACATACAACTACCACAGAATTGTTCATGCTTGTAACAAATTAAGATAGCAGGTTCCAATGTAAATACTGTGCTTATGTATTGATTAACATCTTCATCATTACGTTGAATCACCCTAATTAACACTTGTGAATTTTTCCGAACTAATCCTCAAAGGCCCAAACCTAGTATTCGTTTTGCCTCTACTCTTGACAGTCGATACATTAGTAGTGCTGCCAAGCTAATAACAGTAAGCATGAATAATATGTATTAACACACAAATGTTTGCTATTTTGACACATAGTAGTTGAACCTAATAACATTTATTATTCAATTCAATTAAAAGTACCGAATTGGAGTGTGTGTGATTTCAGCTTCACAGCTTTTCTTTGAACAACTTGATGTTGCAGCACTGGACAGTTCTGAGACTGAATAGTTGAGCTGACGAAAGGCAGTCAGTCCTGGTTCCTGTGTTTATTCTTTTCCTCAAGAAATTACATACATTATATGCACATTAAAATACTTTTATTAAACTTATAATTGTTGGCAATCATATGTTTAATAAAATTTTGCAAGGTGTTGGTACTTTGAATAAATGAACAGATGATGTGTGTGCAAAACAGTGGTTCATATATCTACAAATTACAACATTAGACGGCAATCTAATCAAAAATCGACACTATGCATTTTTAAAAATATATCCTTTTTTCTAAAATCTCTCTCTCAGGTAAGTAATACACGGTTCTTTTCAAGGGTTCAGTAATTCCATTTTTAATACTAAGTGACATGTACAATGCAACACCCAGAATTGTTTATTGAATTTTGATAAAATCTTGTAAACATATTTCCTATCATTGGAAGTATACGCTGATGAAATGTTGAAGGCATTCCAAGCCGTACTTTTTTTGTAAAGGCTTTTTTTGTCTTGTCAGGGTACGAATAAACATGTTTACTAAGTATTCAGTGATTTTTCTGTTATGGTTCTATTTGTTTCATTGCATTATCATGTTTAGAATTTTCAGATGTGCTAATTTCACTCAACTTTCCGAGTTTGAAAGGGGTCGGATAATCGGATTGAGTGAAGCTGGATTTTCTTTTAGAGAAATCGCTAATCGGGTGATTCGAGCATGGTTCCAAGAAGGCCGAAATCGACGAGTAGAGGAACTGGACAGAGCGACAGGATCATTATTTGAGGCAACTAGCACTTAGAGATCGATTTTCCACAACAAGGGCAGTTGTGAACCAGTGGTTTGATGTTGTCGGAAGGGCAACAACATTGAGGTCAGTTTATCGCCGGATAAGGTCTTTAGCACTGTTTTCATACCGTCCCCATCTGGTACTACCTCTGACACCACAGCATCCTCGAAGTTTTACAACCACATCTGCTTCCCTTTTTGGAAAAATTGCAAGATCCACTTTTTCAACCGGACAATGCACGTCCTCATGTCGCACGTGTTAGTTTAGACTTTTCAGAAGCGTCCGGAGTGAATCTGCTTCAGTTGCCTCCTCGACCGCCAGACCTTTACCCCATTGAACATGTATGGGACATGATGGGAACCACCTAATCCAATCAATGCCGCGACGACTTAACGAATATGAAGGGAACAGAGGAGCTTCAACACATTATTAACATTAAGGTGGAATATCTCAGATATTTTGCGAAATTTCGAGCTAAAATTTTGATCACTTTCTATTTATCAGTAGACCAAAAACTTGTAAAAGTATGCTCAACATTATAGAACTCCTAGTCGGTGTTGCATTTTCTATGTCATTTAGTATATATCCCTTTTCTCTAAAATTGTCTATCTCAGATAAGAAGTAATACACTGTTCTTTTCAAGTGCTCAATAACTGATGTCATATCAATCTAGGCATTATATATCAGATTTTATTCACGATTCGGGAAGGCATTAAAGGCGCATCTTCGATGAGCCCATTTTTATGCAGTTTTATGAAAACGCTTTCTAATTGGTCATTGTTGAACAGGATCATTGGTTTTGATCTCCAGATCAACTCAAAAAATATGTTTTTGTAGCTAAAACAGGTGATTTATAAACAATTTCTTGGTTATTTTTTCACTAGTTTGAGACATATTTTAGAAAAAATCGACTATATCCGACAGATCCATTACTAGAAAGACGCCTTCTCATCAGACCATCATGATCCGGGTCAAGCATTTTGATCTCCTGTTAGTAAAATCTACCATTATGGCCACAAAGATCTGATATTGACAGTTGGCACTTTGACAGAGAGTGCTAACACAGAGACTGGAAAGTCAATAACCTGACATATTCGCTTTCAACAGAAAACAGCACACAACCTACACATTTCTGGCGTCAGTCAGAAGCCCATATGCAGGCCTCCGGTAATACAAGTAAATAGAATAATATTCGCCAAACGGATGGTATATAATTATGTATTAGGGATTCTGGGGATCGTATATGTATCAGCAACTGGGTAACGTCCAAATCGATTTGAATATCTGCAGCTGCATCCCACATTTGTACATGTTCTGCAGGTCGTGAAGTGTTACTGCCTCTAAACGTAATTGATATCTTATTATAAATGAAAATTCACTTAACTGATGCTGTTTTGATGGTCAGTCATTACGATCCACTCAACATAAAGGCGCAGCTTTGACTGCCCTCCAGTACGCCAATTTCAAGGGCAGTAAATCTCCAGGGTTATAAGGTACTTATACTGTAGCTCTAAAGCGATGGTGCACATGACCCCCATTTCTTTTAGAAAATTTTCATCCGTTATAAGTTCTTGTATTAATCAACTTTTTAAAAAGCACTGTATAATTCCAAGCAATACAAGAGAACATTACCAAGAAGAGCCAACATCGCCACTGAGGTTACTCATCCCTCCTTCCATCCTTTGAAATCCTATCTCCGCCCTATGTAGGATTTCGTCCAATACTGTAAGCACAATATATACCAAATTCAAACCTCGTCTGGCAGGTATCCTTCAGTCACGATAATTCAGCACTGCTTGATGTAGTTGATTAGCTTCTAACAGGAAAGTTATTGCTACTTATGTAAACATTGCAGCATGCATCAATTTGATGGCATCTTATCATACTAGGAAAAATTTCTTATCTTATAAGGAAAATTCGTTGGTTGGCATAATAAACGAATAACCTGATATTACATTTTGTTGACACTTTCAGTAATAGATATGAATCACTTGGGTGTGACTTCAGAGCTTGGCAAATTTTGGCCATGTGACGGCGTCTATTCTTTAGGATAGTCTGAAATAATTTTCAGATGGATGATGAAAAAAAACAAATATAAAGTTATTCTACAGAAAAAATGTAATATTGATCTGGTGTTCCTGCAGTAAATCAAAAACTATAATCGCTAGAGACAAAAATCAGCTAGGGGAAAAATCCATGCAAAATTATGTTCTGTGCGTATTCTAATTGAGTTCGTCAACAATAATTATGGTGACTGCCACTTTTGGTTTCACTTTCAACACGTCACACGTATTTATGTCATTGATAGACATATGCTTCTAGATCATTTTCACAGGCTGTTTCCGAAACATGAGGCAAAAGTTTAACGATGATTATTCTATTCGAAGACTTTTATTGTCATCTTAAGCTTGGGGAAGCGCGGAATCCAAGAGTTGTATGATATAAAATATGGATACCTAATGGTAGCCACGCTTGGCAACTTGCTTTGAGTTAAAATTAAGTATGTTACGCTATGTGAACATTGCATCCATTGAGTCGTTTAGCAAAGTTTCTGTCTGGAACGTTAATAATAAGAGTCTGCTATACAGTAGAACTGATAGGTTTCATGTTCCATTCTTAAACAAAAACACATCGTGTCGATAATTTTTGGAGGTACAGTTACGTTGCCCAGGCTTGAGAATAGTCAGTATACATATGATATAGGGTATATGCCGGCTCCACAACAATAACAAGACCGGGCCATTATTTTTGATGTCCAGGCCATTAAAATATCCTGTCCGTTTGACAGAAAAAAATCCGCGAATCGACCAGTCCAAATTTGGGTCGGGACATCCATCTCGTGCCCCATTTAAAATCAGCACACGAAAATAGCGTGAATCTATGCATTGTCTCTTTTCTTGGAACAAACAATTAAAATGAAAATATCGGTATTGTGCTCTATATGGCTCTATATTGCTGAAATACCATTGTTATTGGGGGCGTTTTTGTGTGACAGCATAATGGCGCGCTGAAATATGTATATTAACCCTAGGGGAAACATATAGCGTATGGGACATAAGTTCTGAGAAAAAAATGTAACAGCCTTGATCAACGAAATAACAAACTGTTATTAAGATGATGAACTACGCATCTTCTCATATGAAAATCAATCTAGAAAACTGATAGCAGACCATGAATCATCAATAGCACGCATCTTAGTTAAGACTCATCTTCTGTTGGACGATGTCCACTTCCCAAATTTTCATTAAAATACGCGCCCACAATCGTTGACTGTTCTGTGCTTCCATGCATTGTTATAAGCTTTTCGATACTGGAATGACCAGAATTCTTCGATTCGCCGAGCTTGTGGTACATTTGGAGAGTTATCTTCTCTCGGTAAATAATTAACGTTATTTTGTTTCTACCAATTCCAAGCTCTCCTGGCATAATGAGACAAAGCGAGATCACGTCGAACTATATTGTCGCTCTGATGGTAGATGGCAGTTCTGGTAAACATCTTTAGGTATGAGGCTCGGCGTCACAGTATCTTCGAACTCGACCAACATAGGGTGCTGAAACCCCAGCCAGAAATCGCGCACTAGAGTAAAACAGCAAACTGCTTTAATTTAAATTTTATTTAAACATGTAGACTATTTGGTCGGCTGTCATTTCTGGATCTTAATCCTTTAAATATTTTTCATCGTGTATCGTAAACATGCTTCTTCTCACAAAATACCTACTTTTCCCGGCCCTGCAACATCCGGCTACTCTTTCAAGTTGTACCTGAGTGAATTTAGAACATTTCCTTTTTTTTAAATGCAGGTCATTTCTGGACGAAGTCTCATGTATGGATTAGATATTCCAATTCTGTCTTGAGCAATTTCTACGAATCATTAACCCTGTTTTGTGATGGAAGATGAAGTTTTCCAGTATCCGTCAAAATAATGCAAGGTACGCTTCCTTCACAGCATCTTGTTTCCATAAAAATGGTTGCTTGGATAAAATTTTGATCTGTAAACAAGTTCACAATCTTCTTGGGTAACCGTCCAACTAAGCTATAGATATTCTTTCGAATTTCGAGTTTGTACGACATTTTGAACTTATGAAGCATCTAAATGGGCGATATTTGTGGTCCGGCAAAATATCTCGTATATATCAGCTATCTCTCGACTACATCTTGGCAATATTGTTTGCACTCTGTAGACAGACACATACAGGTTGGCGTATCGAAAACGAAACAGACGGATTTACTGGCAGCTCAGGTTTTTTTTTGAAAAACGCTCAGACCCGTGGATTTTGTTTTCGAGGGGGACAAAAAATCACGTAAACACGTGCAGCCCCCTGGGCGGGGGTGACACCAACCCTAAAATCTTAAATGGAAAGGGGCATCGAGTGATACCTTATTTTAAAGGTCTTTCAATTCCCTTTATAGTGATATAAAATACATGAGCTTCAGTTGAGTAGTTTTGAAGATTTATTGATTTAAAGCTTAAAGTAGACTTTGATAGGTACATCAGTTTAGTTTGTACTACTTTCAGAAGAAATTTGACTAAAAGAATTTACTTAATAAGTAAATGCTTTTCTTCACTACGCCCATGGTTTGTTTATCATCTTGTTGTTGAAAATAGCTATTGGAGCGTTTTTTGTGGCAAAAAAGTTATTTCTTGAAGAAAGATAAGGAAATATCTCGTACTTATTTTAAATAGGAATTTAGTACATAGTTTGCGATCGATTTGACCAAACTTTGTCGCTAAAATAACTTGTAACGCTTTATTACATAAATTAACCATGGTATATTCCACAGCAGAAAGAGTTGAAATTATCGAAATATTTTTCTAAAATAATCAGTGCGCTAATAGAACAGCAGAAATATTTAATGAGTGACATGAGAACAGTAACGTGCATCGAAAATATGTTCTGGAACTTATATATAGGCACATACTACTCCACATGCGCATCCAGCCCCTGCCATGCGATCTACCCATTTGATCTTGCTGCAATCTGGTGCCTACATGTATGGACAAACACAAAATCCATGGCTCAAAATGTAACCTCCGAGGTCGAGATTCGAATCCGCAAGCCTTCGAGCCGATGTGATAGCAGCTTGACGCTTCAACACATCTAACTACCCAACCCCTTGGGCAATCTCAACAAGATCTTTTTTATCATTATCATTTGTAATGGACTTAGATCAATATTCAGCTTCGTCGACCAATTTATCTTCAGTATCACTTTGCACGTCTCCTGAGCAGTTGACCTCAGCTTGACTTGCACATTCTGATGATGAAATTTCTTTATTTTCATTCAAAAATTCAATTTGAGTACTATCTAGTAGGTACACTACGGCAAATAGCCATTGAACACCTAATAGATGACAAAGAGCTTCTACCGAAAATTTCTTAGATACTGCTGGCCTACAAACATTCATTCATTTACTTAAGGTTTATCAGTACCGTTATGGAACCTCGGATTGGTATTCGTACAAAACCATTCAGGATTTTTGATATGCATATACCCTTAAAGTTAAATATTTGTCGTTGTTTTTTTTTGATAATAAAAGAACTGGATCAAAAAAGCTAAAAATGGATTGAATATAGTCTTTATGCCCCATATCAATCATAGACATGCGTACACACGCAGGTAATCACAGGGACGTAGATTTGGGTTGCCTAGGGTAACGTACGCACATCCCTTACTCCGCTTGCCTTGAATTGACAAAAGGTATAAACTCGTAGATCACCGTCAATACCGCATCACCGGACAAGTAATAAGGAAACCGAATCCTGTCTGTTTTCAAGATAAATATTAAATCAAAATATCAGGTGATGAAACTTCATGAATTCAGGGGTAAGACAGAAGAATATTCACAATCCTATAAACAAGAATGGGAAAAAAGAGATGATTGCAAAGGAGCTTGGAAGAGTGACCAGTATGCTAATTGTACAAGTCATAATATAGAACTTATCATTCTTTCATGAAAATATGCCCCCAACAAACATATGTTGTGTGAGGGCTCAATACAAGAATGTTCTTTTTTCATAGACGGCGCTGCATGACGCAAAGGCCCTTGATCCACCACTAATCTTGGGACGGCACAAAATTCCCCCTATCGGTTTTGTCCTTGTCCTACGGAATTCAACGACTATCTACCGATTCCGTTTTTTCTTTCGGTTCGGCAACACTACAGAACACAGCAATTAAGATTCCAGACCTTCCAGATCAAATAAATGAAATATAAGAACAATTTTTGCAAATATTTTCCTAAGCAGGTAATTTTGATTGTCACATAATTTCTAGACAATGAATAATATTTGAATGTTGATACAAATATGTAGGATGTGCTGTTTTCTCATATTTTTGTAATTTTTAGATTATAAGTTGGTAATAAATAGCTTTTGATGTAACAAAAGATGATGAACCAGTTGGAATACATCTTAGATACTTTTCCTTCAAAATAAAAACAAAACGGCATATTAGTAGAGGAATGTATTAAGTCCAACACTCTGTATATGATAATGAAACAAAACTAGATTGCCATGCATTGTGTCAGCCGTCCAAAACATTTGAATCATCTTACGAAGTATAATAGCTAAAAAACCTACCTATTCTGCCTATTATTTCTTGCATTTTGATAGGTCAATTCAAATAAAAAAAGTGAACTGATAAGAATCCGCAATTCAATGAAATTTATCCTAATTTTAAGGCTCAAAGACATGGTATTACATCCGGAATGTACCTTTATTTATGAACAACCACTTTTATACGATTTAATAGCTTCCGTTAAATTTCATTTCGAGAAGCTGTTCCATTACAACAAATCTGATCCACAGCATGTACCGCTACATGGGCCGCGATCATTTAAGTCTGCAATCTGCCCGGCGTTTTGCTAGGGACGAAATGTTGCAAATGTCAGTGCATGGCCAACCGTTCTCCAAGCTGCAACATGTTGTGGCATATGTGTACAGACAGATGTGTTTTTATTTAAACAAGCTGCAGGTACATGTTGAGCCTCAGATGCTCAGTAGGAGGGATGTCTTTTAAGTTTTGCAGATGGAAATAAAACAACACGGTAGGTAGTTTTAAATGGCTTTATTGTTTTTCGAAGTATTCTCCACGAAGAATAATACACGTCTGCATGCGCTCGAACCAATTTTCGAAGCACTTATTCCACTTGTTTGCTGGCAGATCCAAAACAGCACTTTTGAATGCGTCAACTGATTTTTTTGGTGACTGGAACCTTTGACCACACAGTCTGTTTTTAGTTTTCGGGAAAATAAAGAAATCCTTAGGACTTAGATCGGGACTATATGAAGGATGGTCCAATATTTCCACGTTTTCTTCCGTTAAATACTGTCTTGTTTTTTGGTCTGTGTGCGAGCTTGCATTGCATTGGTGGAGGATGATTCTTCTTTTGGGCTTGATTTTTCGAAGCTCGGTGATGACTTTTGGCAAACAAATGGTGGTATACCAATCCACAGTAGCAGTTATTCGCTCGTTAAGAGGAAGTGTTGCAATATGACCCGCTTTTGACACAAATGTCACGACCGTCTTTTTCAAAACACTTCGAAAACGAATGACTTTTGTTGGCTTTTCTTTACCTTGGAACACCCAAACAGCCGACTGTCGTTTATTTTCTGGTTCATAACAGTAAATCCACGATTCATCACCACTAACAATGCTGTACGCATTTTTTGAGTTTCCGGAATTGAAAGGGTCAAACGTGTTTTGACACCAATTAACCCTGTCTGCTTTCTGCTCTTCAGTCAACAGGTGGAGTATCCAACGAGAAACTAATTTTCTTACTCCCAATTGTTCATGTAAATTTTTTTGAATTGAGATCTTCAAGGACGCCTCAATCTCGTGATATGTCACATGTCTATCTTCAATGATGAGTTTGCGCACAGCATCGACGTTTTCCTGGGTGACTGCCGTTTTTGGTGCACCCACCCTGGGATCGTCGCTAAGACTCACCCGTCCACGTTTAAATTCTCCCTAACAACGGGAAATTATCGACTGATGTGGCGCTTCGTTGCCGAAAACAGACAGTAACTCAGCAAGGCATTCTTATTGAGATAATTGTCTCTGAAAGTTGTAATAAATTATGGCGCGAAAATGTTCTCGGTTGAGTTCCATTTTTACTAATGACTAGGTGACACTTAAAGATTCACTGTAGTGAGAACACTGCACGTATTGTTGTGAAACTTTGACTTTAAGTTTACTAAAGAGCGAGGTTAAGATTCAGTACTGACGTTCGATCTGCGCCTATGTTTCTATTTGCAAAACTTAAAATACATACCTCGTACATACAGGGTTTGTCCGGAAAGTAATAGGAGTCATTTTCTTCCGCCATGACTGTACTTCGGAGCGTGCGCGCACCTACTGGATTCGGTAGAGGGCGTTCCTAGCTAACGAATGGTCAGTTATCTCCGAGCACTTGGAGAGTCAGGAAAGGCATTTTCGCGCGACGTGTTTCTGTGACTGAGGCAAGCCGAAAATGCAGCGTTCGTTAGAGCAGAGGTACCCGATTAAATGCTGTGTGAAAATCGGTAAATGAGCGACAAAGTCGTTTGATATGATCAAGCAGGCTTACCCAGGTGTTGCTTTAGCAAGAAGTGGTGTGTTTCGGTGGCACCATGCCTTTTTGTGTGACTCGTGTGCGCAAAGTTTTGAACTCAGACCGTCGACTAAGTATTCATTTAATTGTCCAGATGTTAAATTTACCAAAATCTGTGGTTCATGACATTGTGACACAGCATTTGAACATGCGCAAGGTGTGCGCGAAGATGGTCCCAAAAGTACTCACTGACGACCAGAAATTGCGGCGAGTGGAAGTGTGCCAAGAAAATTTGAACATGTGTGAAAGTGACCCCCAATTTTTGAATAACGTAATCACAGGTGACAAGTCGTGGATCTTTGAGTATGATCCCGAGACAAAGAGGCAATCTTCCGAGTGGCACACGACGGCGTCTCCTCGCCCAAAAAAGGGAAGAATGAGCAAATCCAAAGTGAAAACGATGCTCATTGTCTTTTTTGACATCAACGGCATCGTCCACCATGAATTTGTTCCTCCTGGACAAACCGTCAACGCCAAGTTTTACGTGGAAGTGCTCAGGAGACTCAAACGAAGGGTCAGTCGGATCTGACAAGACATCGCAGCCGACTGGAAGTTGCACCACAACAACGCCCCGGCTCACACCGCCTTTCTTATGAACAGCTACCTGACCAAGGCCGGCATCCCAACGCTTCCGCAGTCGCCCTACAACCTTTTTTTTGTTTCCTCGCCTGAAAAGGCCGATGAAAGGCAAGCTTTTTGAGACGACAGAGGGGATCCAAGCAGCATGCACCGCGGCTCTCAAGGTTATTCCGGAGAATGCCTTCCGTGACGCCTTCAATGCTTGGAAATCGTGCTGGCAGCGCTGCATCGACGCAGAAGGAGCCTATTTTGAAAGTTTTTAAAGAATTGTAACGATTGGCTCAATAATTTTTTTTAAATCGACTCAGTCCTATTACTTTCCAGACAAACCCTGTATGTCCGCAAACTGCTATATTGGAAAACTACCTTGAGTGGTGTAATAAGTCTCTTGTCATCAGATTGTCAGGCAGACATTTTAAAAGACGTTAAGTATCTCCGGACAATGCTATTATGTTTCAAAAGTTGAAGGAATTCGTCTTGGGCAATGTGTTTGCTGAGTCAATGGAGGATTATCTGAGATGTGGCAACGCGTGAATTGATGTTCAAGTAGCATCTTATCAACTCGATGGCTATTAATACCTGTAACGAGTTGCCCAGGTGACAGAAAAACTCCAATTATGAATCTAAGTACGGTCCTCGTAAACCGAGTGTGCAAGGCGCATAAACCATTTTTATAATGCAAACCTGATATTAATTGAGCTATTAAAATTCCAACAAGCGTGAACAATTTTGTGGGGTATCTTCTGCAGAAGAAACAGGTGGCAACTTGTTTAAGGTTTTTTTCTTTATTGTGATAACCAAATACACCGAACCTTAGAGCACTTATAAATATTTTTTATATAAGTACAATAAATAAGTGTATATAAAGGTTCTTATTATTTTTGAACTACATTTCTATTGCACCGAGATAAATATGAATTATGATAGCATTGTTTACCTTAAGTGATTGTCCAGCAAAACCGTCCCATTATCACAAAATCCCACATCGTAAGATGATAGCTTCCATAAGATGCGTATGAATATACCTGCTGTTTAGCTATAATTGTATTGCTGATAAAAAGTCTGAATCATAAGTAACCAGTTATCGTGGTAACGTCAGGATACCGTATGGGGCTAAGTAGAGTGATTACGAATTGGTGGTCATCCCAGAAGACCAGCAAGCCGCAAAGGCTTTAACACGCGTAACTATTATCTATAAGCAATTCCACGGAAATGTCAACATAATAGTAAAAAAACTTACCATACATGTTTGCGTCGGTATTTTACTCTACCTGCACTGAGTAACAATGTCTTCATTTCATACGCAACCCATTTTCGCAAGTTTACTTATTTTATAATGTCATGCTCATGAAATTGGAGCAATAGAGCCCTGAATTTCTGTCAGTACATGATACCAAACATGCATCAAGTATCAAATCTCTGAAGCTGGTTGGATCTGATTCTCCATCTTCAGATCCAAACACTGTGTCACAAGTAGCAATTAATGTTGAAGAAAGTTTTTCGCTATGTTACAGTTTTTGCTCCAACACCGTCACGGACTGACATTCTCAAATCTAGCGCGAACTTTTTAGATACTACTACTAGTATTGTAACTATCTGTAAAATCGAACTAACAGATGCTATTTGAATCAACTACATACAAATTAGGACAATATGAATAATTCGGATGAGATGCAAAGAGAAATAAGTTATACTTTAACCATGTCTTCCAATATGTAGGGAAGTGATATAGCTACGGGGCGCCTATGCATCTTTCTGCGAATGGCACCGATCGACCCTCTTGAGATCTGATAAACTGGAATTATGCTGATCAGATATTTCAATTACACGAAAATTTAGGTAATTTTTTGATCCTGTAAGAAAATTAATTAACATAAATGCACTAATTTTCAAATCTTCTCAAGACATGGTATATACACACAAAGCAGCAACATGGGTACATCAAATACGCCATCTTTGCACTGTACCGCCTCTACGTTACATAAAAAAAATGTATTTGCAATCAAACATATACTTGAGCACAACGCTTGTAATCTAGGATTTGTGCAACAAACATGGCTGTAACGGCTGCAGAGGGTTCAGTTGCCAGTAACATTTTGCGCTACTCCTAGAAACGCCCACCCTTCGATTTGCTTTAAATACCACCTCCCAATCAGTTACAAAATACTCAAAACATCTCAAAACATCTATGTCTTTATTTTACTCTTACTGTCATCAAATGATATAACCACAGTTCACATAAAAAAATAACACAGGTGCCTGTACAGAAAGTTACTGTTTATAACATTTCGAAAAGTGACCTCTCATTTACACAAGACATTTGGCAGAACTTCAGTTTCTTTCTTCTATTTAAAGAATTCTGTTAATGATCGTCACAGTAAAATTTTCGAGTTTCCAATTTTGTCAATCGGTGACATCTACTTCCAGAAATCTTTACTCCAAGAAATTCCTCTAGGTCAGAAAAATATGCTAAATATATCGCAGATGACGTTGTCAATTTTCCAGAAGTATAGAGATTTTTTCGCGAGATCCGGCAGTGAACCGGAGCGGGAACAGATGGAATTTCCCCTTCCTCTCGAAGTTTTGACAGTTTCAAGTTACACCGGGAGTGGTTAGGTGGCGCATGTTGCTTAAAATCTTTGCTTTAAGCTCCTTGATAAACTTAGCTGACTTGTTTGAATCTGAAATAAAAAGAACGATCGTTTTTTGTGCAATGAACATATATATTATATATATATATATATATCAATAAAATCAATCATTTGATATGACAAGTGCGGTTCATATATCTTCGATAACCTTCTCCCTCGTCATTTAAAATCAGGTGGGCGTGTTCCTCCATTTATGATTTAATAGTTTAACTCAATTTTCAGCACTGCGAAGACAAATGTTCAATTGAGATGCCTGTTTTTTAAATGAAATTGACATAAGACCTGTCACCCGTTAGTACCTCACAGACGTTAGGCGGGTACCTGTACCACGTGATTTTTTGGCATTCGGACGACGTCACATCCGTCTTCCCCTATTCCCGTTCTTCGCGAAAATTTGAGTATCGGTTCCCGGTGGTGCACTGTGCTACACCGTGGACTCGCGAAAAAATCCTTTATGTATTACAGACAACGTCGGCTGATTGTCAGTCTGTGACACGTGAAATTGATATTTTTTAGCTACGATACACGCATACCATTTCATTAAGACAATGTTAAAAATACTGTGCATAAAGGCGTCAGTGAAAAAGTGGTGCCTCCTTTATTTTAAACAAGATATTTTGTTATACTTTCTGTTGTCAGACTAAAGCGCCCTGTAATAAAAAGGTAGCCGATATTTGTATATGTTTTGTCAGCACAGTAAACCTAGTATTGTAAACTGAAATCATTATACAACCAATGATCTTTTATAATCTCAGCATCATTTAAAATTTGCATGACTGTTAAAATTATTGACTCACTCAACTGTAATATTTTCCTGGTGACCTTAACTATACCGGTAAATCCGTAATTTGGTACCGCACAGAAGGATATATCGAAAACCTACTGACCCACATGATTGAAAAGATTATCCTTGAATTACCTTTTAACTCGATCGCAGTCTATTTATAACGATTTTTTGCCATTTTTTTTTCTCAGCTACCAATTTAATTTAAGCATTGGTATATCTACATCCCGACATATAGCAGAGACGTAACTAAGTGTTTTCCAGGAAATACTATTGACAGATCCGCAAACTAATTCAGAATTTGGAAAGCACACGGAAGCAAAGTATCAGGAAATCATAATTGGCTGCATTTCCAAAATAAGCCCACAGGCATTTGTGGAGCTTTACTAATTCTCGATTGTAAACAGGATGTTTGAGTAGATTATTGAGTATGAATGTAGCTATTTGGTTCAAGGGCACGGTTTGCAAAACAGTTGGACCTGTGCAGTTCCTGCTGCGAGGCCAAACAAATGAAAAATAAATAAAAATCAATACTTCTTAGCTATAAGCAAATAGCCTAGCTTTTTCTCAGCAGCCGCTGCTATTGGCGAGATATGTTCGTGATCGATCGAGTCCTCGGTGATCTGACCAACCGAGATGAACAAAGCTTCTTTGGGAGGCCATAAGATGCAAATTTGCATAAGAGGGCAACGTGCCACAGCTGATCCCGTAAGACTGGATGAGTTTACTCCACAATTGGGTGACGTAAGTAAGGAGGTCCCCTGTGGATCGCTGGTGCCTGTCGCTAATAAAGCCGTCACGTTCGAGGTACTCCAGAAGCTCTCGATGTATGCACCTCTCCATCACCTTACTTATAACAGAAAGCATAGCTATAGGCCTGTAGTTGTAATGATAGATCTTAGATCTATTTATTTTTTTATTGGGATGGGTTGGACATGAGCAAATTTCTGGCGTGACGAAATGCGGGGGAAAGAAGTAGGGCTCGTCACCAGCTGGGTCTATCCTTGGTTAATAGCGAGCGCTTCAGCAGTATGACCTGCTGAATCAGTCTTGTTTGAGCACACCCAGAGCTCAAATCACCGAGGGGAACTACCTCTGAAGCAGTGTGACTGATGTTTAGTAGGTCAATCTTGACCGCTACGTATTCAAACAGGTCATCCAAGTTATGATCCAAAGGAGGATGATAAAGGCAGTAACTAAATTTGAGGGATGCTCTGGAGTTGAGGCTAAGCCACAGAAGCTCGTTTAGACCAGATTTCAAAGGAACGTTTCTGGACTGCTGCAGACAAGAGCCACAACTGCAATGCTCATCCTCAGATCTGAGTGCACCTCGTATTTTGAAAAGCTAAGATCGTTGGTGGGTGCAGAATTGGAAAAATGTTGTCTTCCTCAAGAAGAGCATGCCGGGACGATTAGATTGCAGAAGTTGTGAACAGCATCATGGTTGTTGTTAATGCCGCAAATGTTCGTGAAACTGATTTTATCATGGATGTTGTTCCCTCGAATCCACTATCCACCCAGACATTCCGAGAATGGGCTGAGTTTACTCAAGAAAAGGAAGAAAAACCACAGCAAGGCTTAGGGGTGGAAACATGCGGACATTCTCAAGACGCCCTGGAAAAAGACAGCGGGTGGTATCACCTTGGACGACTGTGCTTGTCTACCGCCATCTTTTTGCTTGTTAATAATGTTAATTGGACCTAAAGTCGTCCGGAGTAGGAATCCTACCGCCACCTGGTAATCGGTACTGAGATATTCGAAACGGGTGTACAATCGCTTAAACGGAAATTAGTTGTACAACTCCTGGATCCCTATTATTAACGTATACTCGTACATAAGAAAAAATAGATTATGACTGAAGACATGAGGCGAAACGTCAATTGAAATTCTAATCATTTACGCATCCTTGTAAAGGAGAAAAAGTGGCAATAGCAATACGCAATTTATTGTGGAGTTTGACCCCAAATAAACCCAGAAAAAAATAATATTATTGTGAAAATTCTGTTTTCTCCGAAAATACTCTGAATTGCGAATTCATCTGAGGTCCGATTGCTGAGGCCAGATTTACTATGCCTTGGCGCGAGAAGAACATGGATCACAAATTCAACAAATGAGAAGTGTAGTTCAAGTAATGGATCTAATGAATATGGTCGATTTCTTGTAAAATGTCCCTCAAACTGGATAAAAATTAAACTTGAGTTTGGATAAGATGAGCAACTAATTCCCATATTGAATCAAGAAGTACATCATAAAAACTATTTTTTTCATTTTTGACCCGATCATATAATGCGCCTGTGAAAAATAAGAATTTGCGCCATTCTGGAAGCATAGACACAAATCAGATTAAATATCTAGATTGATATGACAGCCATTAAATTTGCATTTTGTTGAAAATAACAGTGTCTTACTGTTTCTGTACAACTGCTTGATAAATCCTTTAAGGAGATAAATAAAATTAGAGAATACTTATTATGTAAAAAATATTGCGTAAAATATCAATTTACTCACTTACTGTTAACATGAAGATGTCACGCATGCTACTGGACACGACCTCGCTGACATCCATATCCATGGATGTTGCGTCAACTTTTGTGCCCGGACACAAAAAATGAAAAATAGGTTTTTGTAGCTGAATCGTGTGATGTAGAAAGTATTTGTTAATTTAAGATGAGAACTAAGAGTCCATCTTACCCAAATCTTACATTTTTTCTCTTGTTTGAGAGACTTTTACAAGAAATCGACCATAACCATTAGATCCATTACTTCAAATACGCCTTGGTCCAATTTGTGCCAAAGGGGCAATATTTGATCCCTGCCGGTCAGTAGTAGAATCGGACCTTAGTAATCTGAACTTGCCCCCATTTAGCCGACACCATATCTCTTACTGCTTTCGAGATCCGCATTGTGAGGATTAAATGTAGTATATTTTATGTATATGCAATTCTGCAATAATCACTGGAGTAGATGTGAATCCCCGCCATAAGTTGATATCTATTATTGATGATCAAAAATGAGTTTGAGTGGGGCCACAGCAGATTTGCCGAAAAAACATCTGGTGGGCGTTTTTATAGAAAAAATATATTAACCAGGATTTCCTGCGTTAACTCGGAAGGTATAAGCGCTAGACTAAATATTCGTAGAATGTAAGCAACAATCTCTATAAAATTATCTACAACTTTGTGTACAATGCTCTTTAGCAACAGGCCAATGGTTTAGAAGATAATCTAATGTGAAGGCATGCTGACCGCCATCCGCCTCGTTGCTGCTTCATACGATTTCGCTGCATATAATCGATTTCCAAATATAACTCAAGCGTTGTTCACAATTAATACATTATCATAACTACTAAACGAAGTAACTGCAGCAAACTGGATTATTCCGATCTTCGGATAGACAGACTAGGACGTACTGTAGGAAACGCAAAAGTTAGATGCAGATCATTTTATAAGAAAGCAAGTGATCCATCTTATGAAAATTAATAATAATAATAATAATAATAAATGGCCTTTATTCGTCACACGAATCTTCTTTCTCTGCAATCAGATTGTACGACTAAACACACTAAAGTTTTACAAGAAATTCTCAATTTCAAACAAAAAGACACATGTTTGTCCTGAAAACACACGATTCATTGCGATGAGTACACTGAGAAAACTTGTTCAATTAAACAGTTTTTCTGGAAAATTTTCGTTACCCGTAATATTTTTTTAATTACTCTAAGGGCCAATTTCACCAACATTAATATTATTGACCAATGGGAAAATACCTTATCGAAATGCAATTTGACGGAAGCTGTCAAAGGTCTCTGAATCTCAGTAATTTCTATTGAAATATTGAATAAAATCGTGAAAATTCGACTGTATTATAAACAAGACCACTTTTTGATTCCAACATGATGCTTTTGTACAGAAAAGACAGGACAACTTTCATGTATTTTCATATATGTTATAGGTTTACATTTAACACTCCGTTATCCCCCTCAGCGAATGGGAATGCGGCAAATAATAGGTCGATTTTCTAGCTGTTAAATTTGGCAGCAGATTTGGACGTTTGTTAATGCATGGCACTCTCGAATTTACCAACTTCAATATACTGACAGTTGTCATTACATACCTGTTGAATAGTGTGGATTTGTCTGTATTTTGCAAGAAAATAGAATATAAAATACATTCCATCCAATTCCTCATCTTCCTTTACGTCATAATAGTATCATTTATATATTTATGGGTTAATGAATTTCTTCAAAGCAATATAAACATTATGTCCTCTCCATCCTAAAACACAGATAATATGTGTAAGACGTGTCAATCCCTACATCTCCCTGATGCATAATACAATTACTATGGACATAGACAAAAAATTATGAAAAATGTTTCACAGATAATGGCTTTTAAGTCCAAAAATCAAAAAAACTAGTAATGTTTATTGTTTGTCTATTTTGCTTTTTTGACTGGCGGGGATATCTATCTGACACTCGCAGGGTTGCCAAGTGTAACGACGATCACGTCCCGTGGTGGAGGGTGAGAAATGAATCTTTTACATTTGCTGGTTTTGAATTTTTTTCGTGAAAATTTACTAGGTATCATGATTATAAGCATCTTTGGTAGATTGTTCGATCCGGAATGGGAAAGATCTCCTATTTATGAAAATATTTTTGGTATCATCTAACCGTTGCAATCAGTGCACAAACACTGTGACATATGATTTATAGCATAACCCGCTGCCCTATCAATACAAACTTAACATACAGGTCGCCCGTGGGGATGCAGTGGTCGGGATGAATATCACGACAGCAACTGATGATTTGGGCATGTCTGGTAACAACGTATGAAGTGAAACTCGCTAACTTCACAAATTTGAAGATTTTGTACAATTTCTTTGAAAATGATGAAAGATACGAGTATGTCTGGTTTGGCAGGGTAATGTCGCAGCCAAATTGCAGTCACTCTTTCTGACGCAGTCCGGATGACGATACTCGTGAAATGTATTGATACTTCTAAATATAGGATCGTATCGAACATCCCTACTGTCAAGATGTATAACCCAAGGTACCGACGGAGCTATATTGCGGCGTCAAGGAGATAATTTTAAATTTTCATTTGCATTTTTTCAAGTGTTGTGCAATGACTTTGGGAAAAATATCACGAATAGTCTTATAAATCATAGTAGAGTATATTTCAACAGTTGGCGGAACTTACTCCACTGGGACCAGGAGGGTGAAACGGAATATTAATGCACAATCTGGCAACCCTGTCGCACCCCCACAAAATGGCCGCTGATAACCACACAAGTCACCGTGTTGTCATTGAATAGCATGGAATTAAACCTTCAGAGTAAAATATGTTTTGTGACTTGTACCAAGATTTGACAGATCCCACACATGTGTCACTCCTTAAAATGCAATAATCTGCTGTATCAAATAATGTCTAAGATAAATATAACCTAGAATGTGTACTCGTGAAAAAGAAAAATATATTGTATTTTTTTTTGCAGGTTTTAGGTTTGATGGTATATTTGTGAATTTATTAATTGCTGTAAATATAGTGTGGATGAAATATTCAACTTTAGGGATGTATGGATATCAAAAAACCTGAATGGTTTTTTGGGAATATCCATCTAAGGTGCCATAATGGTTCTGATGAACGGCAAGTAAATGAATGAATGTTTGGAAACGAGCAATATCTTTTGGTAGAGCCTGTCATCAAGTAGGTGCTTAATGGCTATCTGCAAGAGGTTTATAGAAAAAAACACCCATTATCACATATCAATTGAAGAAAATAATATAAACATGAATAAAAAATCAACAATAGAAATTAAAACATGAATTTAATTCAAAAATCAAACATTTCTTAAAATTTTGACTTGAATTATATGTAATTACTTATTCAATAAGCTGGTGATGTTTCAATGACAAGTTGTCATCTCATACTTGGACAGTATTTTGTTTTCAACATTTCATAGCTATTGGTTGCTAAAATTTGTTGATTGGAACTTGAAGCTCATTCGCTGTATCTGACGGTCTGTTACCCTATAGGTGAAGAATAACGGACTGTTGTTGGTGAAATTGGGCCTAAGTAACTAAAAGCATTAAACTGTTTAATTAGTTTGGTTAATTTAGTTCATGTAGAAAAGGTACATTTAAAACAATTAAACATGTTATTAGAGACAGTTCACTGTTTATTGGAATTGCGGACTCAGCATGACTCGGTCCTTCAGTCGTGAATCATCGGAAGTAGGTATGCAACAGACGCAGTACCGGTGACGCGCTCCGAACTCTTCAGTTTCATTTGTGATTTTCACGAGAAGTTATTTATTCGGATGTTGCCGCTTAATGACCTATAACCATGGTTCGAATATTTCTCGCTCCAAATGCAGCCATATTTAGTTCAATGAAGGACATTTATACCAAACATTCTTAACATAGGTTTGATGTGCTTTTCTTTTATATTGTATAAAGTATACATAGAAATTGGAGCCTCCTGTTAACGGTGTTAACAGGCATTGCTCTTCACCACTTGTAATCCAAAAACGTTTAGACTCCCTCATCAGTATATAAGCTTGCCTCGTCTGGTAGCAGGAATGAACAGCTTGACGAACGGGGTCAGATTATTGCCAAATTTGATTGACAAAAATAAAAGCTATAGTCGGAAAAGACAGTGGAAAATTCCGGAGCATATACAGTTGTATAGTACAACTTGATCAACCTTTCGCTTGTCAAAGAAGTCATCGATAAGTAGGACAGCCCTCCTCTGGATAGCATCGAGCACACATAAGGTAGTCGTACCAACAGCACCCCAATCGTGTGAGCAATACTCCAGGCTAGGTCTTATCTGGACCTTGTATAGAGTGAGGAAGTCATGCAAAAAGTACTTCTTAGTCATAAACAGAGCCTAGCTTTTTCCCAGCAGCTACCGCTATTGACGAGATGTGTTCATGCGAGATCAAGTCCTCGGTGATCTTGAGTCCAACCAGCTGAAATAAACGGCTCTTTGGCAGAACCCGGACAACGCCGAATGAGCGCTAGGACGCTTTTTGTTCGTCAAGGTACAGTACTGTGTACTTCTTTTTTCCAGCTCACCGTCAGAGATCGAGTTATCGCTGTGAATTCCTGCATGTAGAGTGCCTTCATCAGCAAAGCTGTGGATTGGGCTGATCGTACAGGAAAGGGCCAATTCCTGGGTAACACCTACGATGACGTTGTAGGATGAAGAGGAGAACCCGTCAATGACAACAGATATCTTGCATCCAGAGAGAAAGTAGCTGCAACGCTTCTCTGAGAGGTCATAGGAGAAGTGCGTGCCATATCTGGTCGAACGCTTTCGTGATATCAAGAGCGGCGACATGAGCCTCACCATAAGACTGGATGAGTTTACTCCACAAAAAGTTTGATGCAACAGTTGGCTTGAAATAACTAAGCTAATGTGCGGTAAAACAGCAGCCCCGTCACATGTATCTCATAGATATTGCTTGAAGATATTGCCAGTCGACACAAAAAAGAAGTTTGCTAGAAGAACAGCTACGAATAGAAACCGATCTGAATACACTCGCGAAGAAGCACTACGTCGCTAATTCGCTAGGACTTGTTCGTAAAATGAATAGTTTGAATGTATGGGAAAAAATAAAATCCAAAAGTTAAGAAATTCGAAAATAATACCTTAATCGTTGTTTTATTTGAATGCGATTTATAAAAATGAATAGTTGAGGGTTAAGGTGTCTTGTTGCTCAAATATTCATGATCGCCATGTATTTTTAAGAATACAATTCAATACGATCGTTGTACAATAGTAGTACTACCTATAAAGTTTTTCTTTGTGATTTTCAAGTCTTCTAATAAAGTATCCTATTTTATTTCCCAATTTCATGTAATCTTCTACTATAAGAAGTTACAGTCACAGACCGTCGATTAGTAATGGATACAATCATTTATTCATTCACTCAACCATCAGAGGTTCAAGTTTGTTGCCTACGCATACCAACAACTGAATGGCTAGTTTCGTTTTCGGTGGTCCGTTGGTTCCCACCTATTCGATTGGCTCCTCAGTAGATGAAAAAATAAACAAGTTATACTACAAGGAGATGCACAATACTGATCGCGTCTTACAAATGGGCAGTGCTGGTCGGTTTCGTTTAATTTTTTTTTATTTCGTCTTTGGACCGGCCGACGAATGGTTACGTATGACAAGGTTATACAGCTTCGTCTATGAATAATTAGTTGTGATAGGTGATGTATCCAAGTGATTTATGTAATACAGCTACATGTAAATTGCTCGGTTTGTGGTCTACGGGCGAAGCTTCATTGTAGTATTGGCTATGAATAGACCGATACCGATACGTATGTTATATGAATTGGCCCATATGACTGCCCGTATGCCGATACGGACCGACCGATATGAATTATAGAGCTATTCACGTTCAAAGTCATTGAATTGAAAAAAACACATCACAATATATAGAACAATATATTTAAATTGTATTGAACTGAGCTCTATTTGTTACGTCTATAATGAAACAGAATTTAACAGCAATTTTCAGTCTTCAGTTCGCCGACTCAGTGATATTAAATGGTGGTAGTTCCTATTCAATTCGTTTCCTATTTTTCCCAAAACAATTATTTTGTTTTTGCATACAAATTGCACTGTCGATTTCGTCAGCCTCTAGATCAGTAACTTTGACGAAATATTCTCAGACAACACTGGTTTGTCTAATTTTTGACGTTTTCGAATACAGAAATAAACTTCATGCAATCCAAACAGATCAATGATTTCTTCGTATAGTAGCTGGTAACTTGTCGGTGACTGTAGCCTAAGATCCGCACGGGTATTACGTATCATGAAAAGTGACATTTTGTTGATTTATTTTGACTTTTTGTAGGTTTTTGTGACATAACGTAGGTTTTTCTACAAGATGTCAACTTAACACTAGCTGTTGTACACTTGTTGTTAACTCCTTCTGTAGCTGTACGTGTTGCCTAAACGTCATGATGCTTCAGCTATCAATGTTTGGCTCTGATGTGATGTAACATCTGCCTGAGAGATGGCATTATTGGAGATCTAAGCTGTAAGCTGTATACTTTAGCTGGCAGGAAACGGCAGTACATAGGTACATAGTGACGATCTGTGTACTAATAATGATGATTTCATTGGTTTCTTGTGTCAAATACACTTACTTAAGATGCATTCAAAGCTAGAAATTAGTTGCGCATCCACTCTTTTCTTATTTATTCTGGAAATTACATAAGCAAATTTGCTGAATTTCAAAAATGAGATAGATAAGAAAAGAAAATCCTTGGATACCTGATTGGTGAAGTATATTACAAGTAATAGTTGAGAAAATATGCTACAGACAGGAATATTTATGAAAAATTAAAGAGTTATTACATTATTGACCAGCCTCTGTCCAGAAAAGAGAACATATAAATAACCCGTCGGGCTTAGCTCATAGATATGCTTTATTGGCATCATATTCAATAACAATTTTCTCACATAGCAAATATCACTGACTTTATACACATAATCATCCAGTCCAGATGTGATCTTGCTACTCAACCAACTGACTTCCTGTCACATATTCTCAGAGATAAACACTACAGACTACTCGGCAACAAGCAACCAACAATGCATGTCGTTTTATTGAGTCATTCCTTCATAGATGGACGCTTTTGATAGCGCTCATAGCGAGCAAACGTGAAATGAACTATTTGCACACTAGAAACTACCTTAGTCTACCTGATGACATTTGTTTTTTTTATTTTTGACGTTTTTTAGGTTTTTCACATAATACCCCTGCCGGTCATATGAATTCCTATAATTCTGCTACGCTAGATAAACAGAATTGATGTGGCCGGATCTTATACTGCAGTCACTTATAAGTTTATTTTATTTTATTCATATATTCCTCAACAGATACAACATCCAATTACAGAGAAACACTATACAGGTGTTGAAAAGCAAATAGACATACATACAAGAAATAGTATCATGGATTGATGATACTAAAAAACCCTATGTGTGTGTGTATCAGAAATCCAACACAAAGCCCCATCAGTGCAGTAGTAACAGACGCAAAGTAATATATTTCTGACCGTTAATTGTACTCCTAAAATAAATAAAGAATAAGATTAAAAGGTACTGGATATCTGAAAATAGTTTATGTCACTGAAATGTTTTTAAATATGACAATATTTTCGTTTATATATATATATATATGTTCGCTCATATCAAAGTCAAAGAGATGACTAACCTCATTAAAGCATTTCAACATTCTGTATGAAGGAGATGCTAGCATAATATTTGTTGAAGCTTTTGGAAGATAAAACATGGTGAAGTTCCTACTACTCGACCTAGGCACAGTAAAGTTTAAGTTCAACAAAATATCACTACAGTCAATCTGGTTGCTTAGCAACTTATTCACAAAACAAAAATCTTCTGTATTCAAGACTGGCCATCCCAAAGTGATCTAAAAGGTCCTTCTGTGGATAGTTGAATGAAGAAAATGCACCATATGCTTTTAAATACAGATATTTTAAAAACTTTGGATCTTCTTGGTTTTAGATATATATGTAACATATAAAGGAGACCAGATGATACAACCATATTCAAGTAAGCTTCTAACTAAAGTGAAATACAGTATTTTTAATGAATCTGTGTTAGTAAAAGATCTTCAATTTCTAATCATGAATCCAAGTATACGTGAAACTGATTTGACTATTTGATTTAACCCTTAAGTACTGACCCATCGTCGCTCAGACTACGGGAAATATTTTATGTAATTTCAATTATTTGAATTTGCCGCTGTATCTAGTCTCAATCCGGACCGTACCTAATCGCCTCAGAAAATTATTGCGAAATTGCGCGAACGTATCCGACATTATTGTATATTGAAAGGCGGGCGTCGTCTAGTAGACTACGCGTCAGTAACAACGTTATTGTATCTATGAGCGGTTTGTGTTTTGTACACAACAAATATGAGCGGGAAACCATCTTGTTCGCGTACGATATCATCTTTAGATCCAAAGTTTGAAGAAACGGCAATGAAATGGTTCGAAGAATGTGACAGTGACAATAGTTATAGTGAGAGCGATTGCGTATCTGAGTTTACAGAAGAGCAAGAGGATCATAGATCATCTGATACCTCAGATAGTTCTGGCAGTGATGATCATTCAGTGCAAAATGCTGATACGGATACGGATTCCAGCAAGTTTTATTATGGAAAAAACCGCTATCGTTGGTCGAAAGTTGAAGCATTACCTACCCGTGGGAGAGTTCTGAAGCATAATATAGTTTTACAACTTCCTGGTCTAAAAAGTCAAGCTCTGACTCTAGGCCCAAAGCTGATCCTCTAGTAATATGGCACTTACTTTTCACACCTGACATATTAGATATAGTGGTTCAGTGGACAAATGTAAAAATAAGTGGTTACCGTCAAAAATTCAAGCGTCAGAACAGAAGTGAAATTAGTGACACAGATGTAACTGAACTTCGAGCATTTCTAGGGATATTGATATACAGCGCAATATTCAAGTCAAATCATGAAAATATACGCACTATTTTTGCCACTGATGGTACCGGAAGAGACATTTTTCGAGCTGTGATGAGTAAGGATAGATTTGCTGTGCTTTTGGCTTGTTTACGTTTTGACAATCCAGACACCCGCAAAGAAAGAAAAAAAGAGGATCCCACTGCTCCGATTTCAGAACTTTTTGAACAATTTATTCATAACTGTCAAAGTGTTTATACAATCGGCTCCTCGGCGTGCATCGATGAAATGTTGGTGAGTTTTCGTGGACGATGTAGTTTTAGAATTTACATGCCTAACAAGCCAGACAAGTATGGCATCAAATTGTTGCGCTTAGTAGATGCAAGAAATGGCTATTTATATAATAGTTATATATATTGCGGTAAAAACTCAGATGGAATAGGACTATCAGAAGAGGAAAGAAAATTATCCATTCCAACGCAATCCGTACTTAGGCTTTCACATCCGTTGTTTCATACTAATCGTAACATAACAGCTGATAATTGGTTTTCTTCAATTCAGTTGGTTGAAACTCTAAAACAAAATGGTCTGACATACGTAGGAACTTTGAAGAAGAACAAACGGGAAATCCCATGTGAATTTCAACCCAATAGAAAAAGGGAAGTGGGACTACTTTGTATGGTTTTACAAAAGAAATGACCATGATATCCTTCTGCGGAAAGAAAGGAAAGTCGACCATTCTGCTTTCCTCTATGCACCACCAAAAAGAGACTGACCTTACTATAGGAAAACCTGAAATAGTATCCTTTTATAACCGAAATAAGGGTGGTGTCGACACTTTAGACGAAAAATGTTCAAAGTGCACATCAAGTCGTCGTACACAAAGATGGTCCATGGCAATATTCTTCAGGATATTAGATGTTGCATGCACGAATGCGTATATACTTCACCAGTCCTATAGAGATAACCCGAATATCTCACAGAAATATACATTTCTGAAAGAGCTAGCAATGAAAATGGTTGCACCTCAACTTCAAAGGAGAGAGTCAAATCCCTGTATAACACGGGAACTAAAATGTTGTATTTGTCGCATTTTGCAAAAGAAAGAAACAGAAGTATTGAATACTGATGATGAAATTCTGGAAAAAAGAAAAATTTGCAGCATATGCCCTAGCAAAAAAAGGAGAATGACCAAATAAATGTTCAGCCTGCAAAAATGCAATATGCCTACAATGCGCAAAAAAAGTGTGTATTCGTTGTATTGACAACTTTTAAAATTTAACCCTTAAATCATAGTTTATATGTTGCAATATTCCTGGAATATGTTTTTTATGTACTTTTCTCTTTATAAAAAGTTGAAATATTAGTTTGTGAATATGGTTTTTATTGGTATAATCATTTTCTGTTTATATACTTTTTCTAATTAGTAAAAAATTAAGAGTTTGTTTTCGAAATTTAAACAGTAATAAAAATTGATTTTTAGAAAAATGAAGGATTATTAATATTGATTATCAACTTAGTTTAGTAATATATATCTTTATACATGCAAAATTTAACACAAACCTGATTTTTTTTAATCTCTTGCAATGATTTTACTAGGGTAGTCTGATAGACGACTCGTCAGTATCTATGTCCAAATAACGGAGCGTCAGTACTTAAGAGTTTTAAGTGTGTTGAAAATGACAGATCCGAAGTAATAGTAATACCTAGGTCTTCTGCTTGCTGTACTATGTCAAGTTTGTGATTGTCCAGCATATAATCATATCGAATGATAGACTGCTTCCTGGTAATGGACATTACTTTACACTTGCTGCGATTAAGCATTAAATCATTGTTCTGGCTCCAGTCTAAATTTTCCTGCAAAAGGTCTAAGCTCTCTTGTCCATGAATGACTGGGTAAATTTTTAAGTCATCCGCAAACATTTGCTTTTCTACTGTTATTATGTGGTTGATATCATTAACAAAAATCAAAAATAGTAGGGGGCCCAAGTTAGTATCTTGTGGGACTCCCGTAGTTGTGTATGATTGTGATTTGAAGACGTTATATTGGACAAACTGAACGCGTTCAGATAAATTTATACATTTTTTTAAGCAAAATGGAGTGGTTTATTCGGTCAAATGCCTTTGAGAAGTCCGTGAATATAACGTCGACCTGTTGTTGTTGTTGATCTACAGCAAACGACAGATAATTCATGAGGTAGCTTAAGTTAGTTGTAGTCGATCTTTTGTTCCTAAATCCATGTTGTTTTTTCCTATAATATCTTACTTATACTAGGATATATTTATAAAGCAGCATCTCAAAAAGTTTAGAAAAACCACATACGAGCGATATTGCCCTATAATTCTTTACATTATTCACTTTTCCGCACTTAAAAGCAGTTACCAAGTACTGTACGAACAAACCACAAGCAAACGCTCTGTTGCATAGATGAAGGCGTGACTGGAAATATGTACTTGTGGAAAAAATTGAGCTGTGCTTATGTAGTACGGCCAGTTTTATCTTTTTACTACAAACTCGATTGTTTTATAATTAGCCGCGGACAGACCAAAAATCCAACGCCGAGCAAATGAATGCAAGCACATGTGACGCTGACGTTTGTTGTTGGAAGGTATTGGAATCCGCTCGTCTAGACCTAAATTTAGTTTCGAGTTGGACCGCGTTGGATTAAGTTCGGTGCTAATGTTGGGCGACGAGTCTGCTCTCATCGAATGCAGACTAATGACTAAATACTAGAAGCGCAACAAATCCTGTGCATACCAAATCAAACCTTCCTTTGATGTACCGATCAAGGAGCGAACTCAATCGAACGCCAACGCCTACCTTGAAAACCATTGGCTCATGTTGGCTCGCGCCGTACACACCTTGCCTTGGCTTGCGTTTGTTTGTACGCGGCTTTATACGAGTAGATCCGTTGAATTAGCACCAGTGAATATAAAAGGACTCTTGAAATGTCGTACAGTATGTTATCACTAATATTACACAGCCCATTACCATAGCGAGTATAAATGGCAGCACTAACCTCATAATTCCTGCGAAATCAAAAGATTCATCCTATAACTTTACCCACTATCATCCGGTTTGCCAAATCACAAAAATAATATTTTCATCAGATAACACTAAGCCGTTCCTGCCATTTACACTCCTCATGATACCCCAGCTGCGTAACACTCTTTGTAAAATATACTGTATATACGGTAGTTATCCTGAGGATTATCTCTTTCCAGGAAAGTGGCGAGCACTTATACCTATACATGGTGACAATTAAGGTTTTTCTCATTTTTTAGCTATGTTGCATCAAGATAAAAATGAATTATAACATTTAGTTTTAAATGTGTGATTGTCTGACGAAACTGAGTAAAACAACCTTTGTTATCAAAGGCGTATCGTTCTAGGACCAAAAGAGTCATGGCCCGGGACGGCAGGCTGCGAATGGCGGCTCAAGCCATCTAAATCAAAAGTTTTTGCTTTCCCCCTTTCCTTAAGAGGCCCAAGGTGCTTGCTAAAGAATACGCCTCAGTTTGTTGTACTTGATACAGTCTCACATAAAATGCAGTTTTAGTAATCTGTCATGGGGGGGGGGGTCGGGTTGGGGTGCGCAGTCGTAGTCGCAGCATCCATGTGTAAGAAAATGTTCGTCTCGGAGGGGGGATAACGATTAAAAAATTGAAGCACTTAAGCGGCGTTTCTAAGAGCAAATGCTCTTATGACAATTGGAGAGCAGGGGTTGAGATACGAAGGCGTGATTCTCACCACTCAGGCTTTGCAAAGTAATTTGTACCCCAACCAACATATATCATTTTATTTAAATTGCAGACTTAGCGCTTCTCTTAAACCGTCCTTGTCTCTCGTCGCAGGCTGAGCATACCTGTTGCTCCCACCAGCGGACTGTGGCTGCCACTAATGTGATGTAAAAATGCATTTATTCGTTTCATGGTTACACACGACCTTAAACGTCGTATGTCGCTGAGTGACAGCTACCAACTCACCAGCTTTAATAAATTTACAACTGCCTCAAGTGGCACAAACCGCCGCCACAAGTTTGAAAATGAAAATCACGTGGGAGGATAAAAATAAAAATCGAATAACCAAAACCATACAAAACACAAACTGAACAGATTGTTGATATCTGTGAGTAATGTCAAAGTTGTCTAGGACGTCTAATAAGGACTTTGTTTTCATTCCTCCCTAATTAGAGCTAGCTACTATTTTCATTAGCGACAAAAACTACACTTGCGTATGTTAATAGTATCAAAATACTGTCCACCTGGCCGTATAGCTCATCAGTAATTTCTTCTTTTGTTGGCTATCACTTTATTGCTGATAAAATCGTAGGTAACCAGTAATTATAGCGGTAACGTCAGAGTACCACCATCAGGAGCCAAGTAAATTGACTATGAATTGGCGGTCATCATTGAGTCGTAACGTATTCATCATGAATATTAAATTTTGAGCATCATGACATTCCTCATAACAGCCTTGTTATAAATGTCCAAGAGGATTTTTCTGACAGTAGCACGATTAGCGGAAATTACGTCTAAAGCTTATTCTTTCCGCTTGCTAGCAACCTATTATTTTCTCATTGATTATCTAAACTATAATATACGTACACGCAAATAGTACAAGATTTGGAATAAAAGTCAATAATCGAGGTATGCCTGGTGGCTATGAACCAAACAAGTTGTTAAAAAGTAAATATTAACTCTAACATTTTTTCAGAAAAGAGTGTCCTGTATAGTTAACTGAAAGAGCTTCTCTTCTGATCACTAGGGACCTAAATTAGCAACATATCTATTACAACATACCGAATATCCTCAAAGTATATGTGATGTATATTTAGCTTTGATAACGAAATATAAAAGCCTGCTGGACAGAGTTTGTCCTGTATATCACATAATTATTCGAACCTTCTTCTTGAATCTAGGTCAACCATGAAAAAAGCATCTACTCAGCCCGGTGTAACATCGACTCCAAGATCAAGGTACGGGCTTCACATAACTTTGATCCAAGGTTACTACCACACTTGTTCCACATCCCGCCATCATGACGATGCGTATAGTACAGGCAATAATGACTTAAATGTGATACTTGCTAATGGATCAATGTTTGCTGTTGTCATTCAAACAGGGCAGTCAGTCGTTGCTTCTATTGCCTTGTCGTTGCCTGCCCAGGTATTTGCGGCCCTCTAGCCAATAGAAACGCGTCAATTTTGACGTCGCACGCTGGTGACTGTTTTGGTGGGGTGTAAATAAGATTTGAATTCAATTTACCAAGCCAAGGATGGTGTATGCCAACTACAATGTGAATGCGGAGAGCAACAAAGAGATCACTCTCAATAAGAATAAAAGAGCATAAATAGAAAACCGAGTGAAACGAATAAACGTTTGGACAAACCACCACAGAATTTTTTGGGATTATAGTAAGATTTTACACAAAGAAACACAATGGCATCGGAGAAATTTCAAGGAAGCGGCATTCATAATAATGAACGAAAATGTTTTACTGTAATCCAAGCATGGCGACGCGTGACTTTTTCTAAACTGTTACCAAAAAGGGTTATTTTGAACCACCCAAATATAAGTTTTTGTTTTTTTTAGGTATTTTATTTAAACTATTTTTAAATTAAGGTAAACATTCCTGGGGCACTTGATATACCACATCGTCTTATGCTATGACTAATCCAAGCCGTCTGAAAAAACGGTCAACGTTTCTAGATGTTCGGAAAATTTTGGATCTTTTTTGGCAATGAATGTTAACAATTCACTGTAATTTCCTCTATTGTCAGAGTCATCCCCTTCAAAATGAACGGTAATTCCTGTTTTGCCAAAAAACATATGGTATCTAGAAGTGTGCTGCCTAAAAGCTTGGTTAAGACAACTTTCGATTCTTGTTTTGCCAAACTGAATTAAATTGGCTACACATCTCACATGTAACGGAGAAATTTCATGTCTCCTCTTTAGAGCCCTAAAACTATTTAAATCTCCGCTGCTGGTACACCCATTTCTTTCTGTATAAAACAGAAGACATCGCCAACAATACAATCTGTTTTTTGCAACCACATAACCAAGAGTTTCCATATACCAACTTATTTTAAAATATCAAAGTACGTTTTTTTATTCCTTTTTAAAATTATCTAAAGTGGATGTTGGTCTTCCATTTTCAATGATCTCCTTTTTTCTTAAAAATTATACAAGGAGAATGACTTTTCAAGTAGTTGATCGATTACGCAGCGACACTCATCCATCTTTAATTGCACGCACACTACAGCCGTTAACCAAAACGGCTATTGACGAGTGAGAAGTGAGTAACCAAATCAAAAAATGGTAACAAGCCCACATAATAGTCGCGGCGCCCCACGCACTCGGGCGGCCGCGATCAGACACGAGCCGGTACCGGCGGTCCCCGACGGACTGCCAAGTGTATCCATAAATGAAAATGGTAACAATCGACAACCAAGTCGAGACGAGTCAGCTTCATCGTGTTCGCAAAACCTAGACAATATAGAGCGCATTGTTTTCGTGGGGCTAGTTTGCCTTTTAACGGTTACCAATGGTAACAATGGTTACATGGACGCTTCGCCACTGAATCCAAGTCTGGAAATTAAACCAGTATGACAGCCGATTGTTAAAAACATTAAACAACCCAACCGAAGCGAGGTACTCGTTACAACCAACCATCGGCCACATCATCAAACGGAAAAATTTGTTAAAGTTGATCAAAACAAAAGGCTTAAAAAAATTGTTAAAAAACGATAAATACATTGAAAGGGGCATCCTTACTAATTGAGTGTTGCAACAAACACGTTACAAGATATGTAGAGCATTCCCTTAAGTCATATATAATTTAAAGGACAAAACAAATGATTAAAATGTCAAAAATTAAATCGGAGATGTCAGCGCCTGTAGCATTTAGGTGTCCACAAACTATTCGTCGGACGACGTGAACTCAGTCTCTGAATGCGCGAACACAAAAAATTAGAGCAATTGTATCATCAATGCGGGTGTTTTCAAGACAGCTGGATTTTGGTGTTCATAAACCCCTTTCTCTTCATCTGTGATATATCTATGGTACACATTGCAGACGATGATACCAGAATATAGCCGAGATATGAATATATATCTGGGTCATATGCTGTAATAAGTCCATTCCATAGTTATAGACAAATATGCAACAAAAAAGAATTGCTCACTTAAAGGCTTCATAAGAAGCGCATCTGCACAAAAGTCACAATCACCATACATCTTCTTTTCTTCATACTCTACACAAATTCATCGATTAACCTATAACAAATATAATGTTTATATTGGCCTCAAAATTATCAAAATAGTTGCTTTTGTTTCCATCTTTAACGGAGCCTGTTTTGGTTTTTTCACTGCTGAGTTCATTTTTAAGTAACATCCTTGAAGTCACGACAAACAGAAATGTTATATTTTGTTGAGTTCTGCTCAAAACTGAATTGATAGGAAGGCCTTAGACCCTCCGAGCTACCAGCTTGGGCACAAATCTATTTATTAAAAGAAGCCTGCTAAGTACTATATTCCGAAAGTGCGCAACTCGAAAATAATGGAGTAATTTCTGGCGAAAGTGTCAGTCTCACCATTTGTCAGTTTCAGAAATACTAAGTTACGAAAATTGTTCTGTCAAAATAAGCAGCTTGTAAGGTTTTTATAAACTGATCTCACAAACATATTGATTTGACAACATAATTTGATTATGAGCAGTAAAATTACGGAATTGCTGTTGTTTGTTTAATAAATCTGTTATCATTTGTATTAATTACATATAGCAGTTCGTATTATTTGATGATAATTTTCATAAAAAAAAACAAAGCATAAATTTAACTGGCATCGACTACAAGAAATAAGATAAACGTTTGGGCAAGCACGAGGCCTTTTCAACTTCTCAAACAAAAACCTATTTCAATCACATTTCAGAAGAAATATCTTTGTTCAAATGGCAGACATTGCGAATTTAATCATTTTCTCGAAATTTGGTGCTGATAATGATGGATTAATGAATGAAGTTGTATGAAATTTTCATGAGATAAATTTTATTGCTTCTTGCGACTACATATAAGCAGTTCTGGATTTTTTTATAAAATTTTTGATTTGCTGGTGAAAGTTTAGATGACATAGTTGACAAATTGTAGTGCGTTTCGGAGGAATAATTCTTATAGTAAACGTTGCCTTCAACACTTTAGACAACTCGGGACAAATGGTGAGACTCACCATTTCGTGAGAAATATCCTCTTTGTTCTTAAGACTTTAGGACTATACTACACCCCACTAAGTATTTACCAATACGTAGAACTAGGGCAAAATCGGTGACTTAAATGGTGCAAGATCTCCTTGTATTAATTTACTTTTTTACTGTAATTCTGCTTTGTTTAGAAGAATAATTAAAGTTAGGCGAACAAGCGTTCTTTTTTTTCGCTCTTAATATCATTGATCTAAGAAAAACTGAACACTAAGTTTAGACGGTACTGTTCAAGACTGGGACGAGTTCTGTTTGGACGAATTGTATCCTATAGTCCATCCATGTTGATAATTTTAGTAGAGATTTTAGCTCCTGCACCATTACAAGCCTTGTCCTAGTAACATCTCGAGATCACTACGTTTATCAGACGTCTACTAGAATAGAGAAATGCACTTTCTACTGTTGTGAAAGTGGAAAATGAAAGTTATCATCTCACCAGTCAATGGTAATCCTTTTAAGTAAGGTCACATTCCGGGTTGCGTAATACTTTGTTTTGGTTTGAAGGTTTCACTGAGGAAGGTTAGGGATTGATGAACTGTATTTAATCTTTCCTTTTTATAGAGTGATGAGTGTGCTGCCCAAACAGGTGCTTCCTCGATAGATAAATTAGTCAGATCTTCAGTATATATTATGTTCTATGGTCAACCGGAAGGTTGTGTCTGATTTTTGGGTGAATAAAATAAGTTTTTTTTTACAAACTTTATTGATTAATATAATGTCCATCACTACTTATGACCGTTTGCCAAAGTGATGGCTGTCTCTATATTCAATTTTTATAAGATGTCTCTACGGGCGAAAAGTTAATCCGACACAATGCATTTTTCACCGTATGGAAAATCTTGTCACTTCATAGCTTCCCCTCTTTCTTGCATCATTTTCAAATAGAGTAAGTAGAGATGTGGACGTTATGCGTCTGTCATTCATGTTATTCTCGCTCAACTCATGTGACACCCATCTTGAATATTTCCACTCTGATCCTAATATATGTTACAAATATAGTCCGAAATAGTTGGTTCAGCTGAAATCAAGCATTTCCGGAATCCTGAAGCTGTCAAGAACTTTGCTAAACATGACTGTTGCCTACAACGTGGTTTTTCAGAAAGCTTAAAATCGATTTATTATATCATTTAACGCATAGGCCACGGGAATCAACATAAAAATCCTCAAAAATATCTTATAACATTGACTATTGTGTTAGCCACTAGTGACTGACAGTGAACTAACCCAATGGTGCCATGTAAGTCACCAGAACTGGCACTACATATCTGCTTTTAACTTGTTATTTAGTCATGAGTTCTGTGTTAAAGTTTATTGTTTTCGTATATATAGATGCATCTAAATAAATGTGTTAAAATTACCAGAAGACAACCTACCGTTATGACAAATCCTTATCTTACTTACTTACTTATTTCTGCATGTTCAACATGCATTGGCGAAAAAAGCAACGCAAGGTAGGCTTGAGAAAAGTATTTTGTATTAGATCGCATTTTGGAATAATTATGTGTAAGAATTTTGAAAAGTAAATATTCACAATATATCATATTGTTATCTAGCTTTTATAAAAATAATCAAGCAGCATGGTTTCTGTACTTCTTTAGCTTACAGCGATTATACCAGCTAAGTAAATACATCATGCCTGAATCCACCTTCTGTATACCATCTTCCTTGTAGAATAAGTATTTTACAAACAGCCTTTGAATACTCCCAACTTTATCAGAGTAGATTTCATAAACAGGGCCAGAACCATATTATGGAATAGTATTCAATCTTGTATCGAACTACTGAATTAAATGACTTTCAAAATCTCTATTCCTGATTGTGAAGCCCAAACTTTTGTAAGCCTTGCTAACAACATCAATATGAGTCGTGAAACTTTTGACACATATTTAGTTGTTAATTATGAGTATTCTACATT